ATTTTAACACCACCACGGACAAGCTCTCCGCTCGCGCCATTCCCTGCGTCTTCCTTGGCTTTGTCCCTGACGTGCCTGGCTGGCAGTTTTACGACCCCGACTTGTGCCGTGTCTTTCCGTCTCAGGACGTCACCTTTGACGAGTCGGTCCCCTTTTACCGTCTGTTTCCCTACCGCACTGCCCCTCGCCCCCCCCCCCCGCCGCTCTTTCTCGCCCCGGGTCCTCCCCAGGTAGAACCCCTTCCCGCGCCAGGTCCTGCTCCTTCAGGTGTTTCTCAGGTAGACCCTCCCGTGCCTGCGCCTGTTGAGGTCACTGGTGACTCAGGTCCTGCTAGGGGTGGTGCTGTCTTTGGGGGTGCTGGGCCTAGGGGTGCGGGGCTTGGAGGTGAGGAGCCTGCGCATGAGGACCCAGGAGGTACTGAGCCGGGGGGTGCGGAGTCTGGGGGCGCTGAGCCTGAACGTGAGGAGCCTGGAGGTCCTGAGCCTGGGGGTGCTGTGTCTGGAGGTGCTGAGCCCGGGCGTGAGGAGCCTGGGGGTACTGAGTCTGGGGGTGCGACGCCTAAGGGTTCTGAGTCTGCTGCTGCGCGGTCTCCTTGGAGTAGTCGCCTTCGTCCGCGTGTGCCTCTCACCTCACAGCAGCTGCACGACCGGTACGGTCGCCGTCAGGGTCGCGCTTTTGGAGCTCGGGGCTCTGCTGCTGGAGGTACTTCTGCTGACGTCACTGGAGCTGGGAGTGGTGCTGGTCCTTTGTCTACTGGAGGTGCTGGAGTCGCTGGTCCCGGAGGTGCTCGTACTATTGCTACTGGAGGCACTGAGGCTAGAGACCCTGGGCCTGGAGGTGCCGGTTCTGGGGGTGCTGCAGCTGGTGGAGCTGGTCCTGGAGGAGCTGGCGCTGAGGGTTCTGGAGCTGTTGGAGGTGCTGGAGCTGCTGAGGGTACTGGAGCTGCTGGAGGTGCTGGAGCTGCTGAGGGTTCTGGAGCTGCTGGAGGTGCTGGAGCTGCTGAGGGTTCTGGAGCTGCTGGAGGTGCTGGAGCTGCTGAGGGTACTGGAGCTGCTGGAGGTGCTGGAGCTGCTGGTGCTGGTGGCACTGCACAGCCGCGCCTGTTCTTCGCTCCGCCGTCTCCGTCGTCTCAGCCGCCGCCTGACTCTGCGCTTCGCCAGCTTCTCAGTCTCCCTTCGTCTACTGGTCTTCCGTTACAGCCTGGCTCACCGCTGCCTGCTCCTTCTCCTTACACTGAGCAGACAGGGGGGCTTGCTGAGCGTCGTGAGCTGTCAAAATATGTTCACATATTTTATATAATCGTTTGCAGTTGTAGTGTAGTTATTGCATCATGTTTGGTGGTGCACCTCTTTGTGTTGCTGTTTGCCTATTTGTACTCTCATTTCTCATTAGTGAAGCCCCTCTTTTGGCTTGCCACTTCCTCTCGTCACCCTCACCTAGTTCAAACCCTAAGCTACTATGCTCCTAATCTTAACATGAGCCTGCGTCGCGTCCTGTCTCGCCTGTCCATTCTGGTCGTTCCGGTCGTCGTGTTCCTCGTCCGCGTCAGCCGGCTATCCCGGGCACCCACCTTGTAGTCCGTCATCCTTCCTCTCCTCCGCAGCGTGTTCCTCTGCCTTCTCCCCCTGCGCCCTCTCTGCCTGACGTTGCGGACCCTGAGTCTGACCAATTTCGTACTGAGCACCCTACTTTCACGCGTCTGTTAGCCACTGTGGTCACTGACCCGTCGTTTGAGTCCACTGCTGCGTCTGCCCTAGTCGCTGAGCTTGTCGACTTTGCTGCTGCCTGTCGTCTAGACTACGCTACTAGTCTTGTTGCTGAGTCTGAGTCTATCTGTCCTCAGTCCGTCGGGGGTGAGTGTGCTCTTAGCACGGACGTCCTTGAGGACAGGCACGAGGACCTTGAGTGTCTTGCGGCCGCTGCGCCTCATCTCGTGGCCATGCTGCTTGCCCCTAAGGGAGACCCGGATGCACCAGACATCCCGACCCCGCGCTCTTACGCTGAGGCGATCGCGGGTGAGTACTCTTCTCAGTGGCAGACAGCCATGGACGCAGAGATGGCATCCTGGAAGTCCACAGGCACCTACGTCGATGAGGTTCCCCCTCCCGGGGCGAACATCGTCGACGGCATGTGGATTTTCAGGGTGAAGCGGCCGCCAGGTTCTCCGCCTGTCTTCAAGGCTCGTTACGTTGCTCGAGGCTTCAGTCAGCGAGAGGGAGTTGATTTCTTCCAGACCTTCTCCCCCACCCCGAAGGTGACCACTCTTCGGGTGCTGCTACACGTTGCCGCTCAACGTGACTACGAGCTTCACTCTCTTGACTTCAGCACAGCCTTCTTATAGGGCAGCCTGCACGAGGAGATCTGGCTGCGCCGCCCCCCTGGCTTCACTGGGTCATTCCCTCCTGGTACCCAGTGGAGCCTCCGGCGGCCGGTCTACGGTCTCCGCCAGGCGCCAGGTGAGTGGCACGACACACTGAGGACGACACTTGCGGCTCTTGGGTTTGCTCCTTCGACTGCTGACCCGTCCCTGTTTCTGCGCACCGACACTTCGCTGCCGCCGTTCTACATCCTCGTGTACCTCGACGACTTGGTCTTTGCCACTGCTGACACTGAGGCTCTCGCCCTGGTGAAGTCGGAGCTGCAGAAGAGACACACGTGCACAGACCTGGGTGAGCTGCGCAGTTACCTTGGCGTGCAGATCACTCGGGACAGAGCACGCCGCACCATCACACTGACTCAGTCACACATGGTGCAGCAGGTCCTTCAGCGCTTCGGCTTCACCTGGTCCTCGGCACAGGCGACTCCTCTGGCTACAGGTCACTCGCTCTCAGCTCCAACTTCGGACGAATCCGTAGAGCCGAGTGGTCCTTACCCAGAGCTAGTTGGCTGCCTCATGTACCTGATGACCTGCACTTGTCCTGACCTTGCGTACCCTCTTGGCCTTCTGGCTCGCTACGTGGCTCCTGGTCGGCACCGAAAGGTGGACATGGATGCTGCTAAGAGGGTACTGCGCTACTTGTGCAGTACATCAGGCATGGGGCTCGTGCTTGGAGGACGGGGCGACGTTGTCCTCACTGGTCACTCGGACGCTTCTTGGGTTGACGACCAGGCTACGCAGCGGTCGTCACAGGGTTACACCTTCAGTCTTGGCTCTGGCTCGGTTTCTTGGCGATCTACTCGCTCGTCTTCTATTCTCGGCTCCAGTTGTGAGGCTAAGATCTACGCCACAGCCATGGCTGCACAGGAATTACGTTGGCTCACCTACCTGCTGACCGACTTAGGAGAGAGGCCTCGTTCTCCTCCAGTTCTGTACGTCGACAACAAGGCAGCCATTGCCTTGTGTAAGGAGCACAGACTGGAGCACAGACTGGAGCACAGAACGAAGCAGATTGCTCTGCGTTACTTCCTGGCTCGAGAGTTGCAGCAGCGGGGTCAGCTTCGTCTTGCTCACGTGGCCCCTCGAGCCAACACTGCTGATATATTCACCAAGGCACTTCAGTCTAGTGATCATCAGCGCTTTTGTACTTTATTGGGCCTTGTGCCTACGTTTCCACACTTGCTGTAGACTCTGCTTGTACTTTGATCTATATATATATGTACCTGCATGCTTGCTCTTGCTAGGTAGAGATCACTGTACTGTTCGTGTTGCATATATACCTCTGCATGTGAACTGGCCTTGTGGCCTTTTGCTTGTGCTTAGTGTGTGTGGTGATGTTGTGATCCACCCTGAGCTTGCTTTGCTTTTCTTGACTGGTCTTGTGACCTCTTGCTCTCCCCCACTTTGCCTATGGGGGTGTGTCAAACATATATATGTGTTATAGTTTTGGGTAGGCTGTAGTGGGGTAGATACTGTGGGGTACAACCCCTTAGGTTTCTTTCTTGTACCAAATCCCTCGACATTGCAAGTCATTCATGCCTAACTTCTAAGATTTTGCTGTAGAGGTTCGGAAATTTGGTTGAACTTTTGATGGTAACCCGTTTCGCAAATGTCGCCAATTGTTTCACTTGGGTGTCGTGTGTCCTAGTACAGCATTGTAGATGAAGTAGTACGCTAAAACTGGGTTGATCTTTTGGCTCAAACCATGCGTCAACGAAAATTCACTCGTGTGTTCTTTTGACAATACACGAGGTAGCTGCGAATTCAGCAACAGTCGCAGCACAAATCATGCGCACGAGCGACTTCAGAAATCAGTGTTCTGGCATCACCAACGAACACATGGCAAACCCGGTAACCTGCGTGGGTTGGCCGCGACTTGGGAAGTTCAACTTCAATAGTCAAAATTTCATGTGTCATGTGATTCTTGTGAGTTGAGACTAGGGTTACCGCTGCCGATGTTGTCGAGCCTAGGTCGACCTAGGTTCAACTGTGTACATGTCAACTCAAAACTCGAGTTTTGCAAATAAATTTCAAAAGACACGCGCCCTTATGGGCGCACGCGCTGACTTGCTACTTAACAAGCCATTTTGTCCCAGTGGTCTAGTGGCTGGGATTATGACATGGGACGTTAAAGAGTTATATACTAAGGTAGATGAAAAATAATAATTTTGAGTCTCTTCATGGATTTTGACTCATTGAAGAGAAGTTAGGTTTGTGAAACTAGGAAGAGTAGAGCAAACTCTCTAGGTAATGGAAGAGGGTTTCCTCCTCCTGGGTCAAACGGCCAGTGGCTGTACGGCCTTGCTCGCTGAAAATCACAGTTGGCACCACGAGCGCTGACACTAGGAGCACGAACACAACCACCAGCGTGCTGTCGAGGCGCGGCAGCAACCTAGTTCGGATTGTGCGACGCGACTCATAAGCCGGGCCTGCGGCATGCGACTCCTCCACCGCCGCTTTCAGCGTTTTCTCGTGCTCTCCGCTCTCGCGTCGCCGCTCGCCGCTCCGCTAGTCTCGGAGCCACATTGCGCCGCGTGCCGCGTGCCACGCCATCATCCCGCCATTGCTATCTTTCCGCTCCGTTTTCTCCTCGCCTCGCGCGTAGCGCGCTTCGCGGGCCGGCATGGCGCGCATGGTGCAGTGTCCGCGCTGCCGCGCCGTGCTGCAAGAGCCGCCGCCGGGCAACCCGTTTTACAAATGCGGCAGCTGCATGACCGTCCTGCAGGGTAACGCGCTCCTCACCCCCACTTCTTCCCTCCCTCCTCTCCCCCCTTCTTCCCTCCCTCCTCTCCCCCCTTCTTCCCTCCCTCCTCTCCCCCCTTCCCCCCGGCGCTCCCCCCTTCTGAGCGGAAGCTGCATGACTGGCCTGCAGGGTAACGCGCGCCACCCCCCGCAACGCGCTTTCCGATAGTTTATATGAGCTCGTATGATTCATTCTCTCCAAAGGCCCTCGCTTTTGCTCTCTCGTGCCCCTCACCCGTTTCAATTCACCCGTTGCCCGGCACCCGTTGCCCCCATCTCGTGCGCGCAGCGCGCCACGCCGTGTACGGGGGAGTGCCGCGCCACCCCGTCGGCATTGACGTCGGAGGGCGCTCGTCCGCCTCCTTCTCCCCCCTCCCGCCGCCCCACTCGCGCGGCCCCCCCGTTCCGCGCAACCACAGCGCGGACCGCCCCCCGCCGTCTCTCTTCGCGTCGCCGCACGCCACCCCTCCGCGCCCCCCGCAGATCTCCAAGTCGCTCTCGCAAGGCGCCTCCTCATCCGCGCTTCAGAATACTCCCGCCTCCTCCTCTCCCCGCGCGTCCGCGGCCTCCTCTTCTCCGCGCACCTCCCATTCCGCCGACCCCTCGTCCCTGTCCTTCCGCCCGCGCGCCCTCTCCGCCTCCTTTGCTGGGCGCGGCGGGGCGGGCGCACGGGCAACGCTGTTTGGGCACGAGATGGCGGAGTGGGGGGACGAGGGCGCGGAGGAGGAAGAGCCCGCGGAGGCAGGCGCAGGGGCATGGGCGGGAGAGGGAAAGGGCGGAGGGGCGGAGCCAGGGGAGGGCGGATTCGGCAGCCAGGCGGACACGCCTTACCGCAGGGGCGGGGGGGAGGAGCTCAGTGGCGGAGGGGCGCAGGCATGGGCGCAGGCTGGCGGGCGGGGGGAGGAGGGCAGTGGGGAGTGGGGGCAGGGCGAGGGGGACGAGGGGGGTGCGCCAGTGGCAACAGGCAGCAGCCCCCCCAACCCCTCCGCCGCGTTTGGCCGCCAGTCCACCCTCCCCCCCCGCCTGCCCCGCCACGCTAGCCCCCTCCAGACGCCCTCCCCGCGCTCTTCCGCCCGAGCAGGCGCGGCGAGGAGGAGGGCGCTGGGGTCTGGCATGTGGGCGGGGGCAGGGGGGAGCGGGAGGTGGGCGCAGGGGGAGGGGAGCGGCGAGAGGGAAGGGGAGGAAAGGGGAGAGGAGGGAGAGGAGGCGGAAGAAGGGGAGGCGGTGGTGTGGCCGAAGGGGTGGGCGGAGATAGATGCAGCATGGTCAGAGGGGGATATGGGCGGGAGCATGGGCGGAAGTATGGGGGGGGACATGGACGGGGGAGTGGCATGCACCCAGAGCATGGATGGCGGGCTTGGCAGCAGCAGGGGCGGGCGGCAGGGCAGCAGAGGGAGCATGGATGGGGAGGGGGGGAGGGGAGGCAGTGGGAGGAGACTGAGTATGAGTGCGAGCATGAACGCGAGCATGGGCATGGGGTTAGGGTTGGGCGGGTTCGGCAGCAGCAGTGGCAGCGGGGGGGGCGTGTCCCCACCACCAGCATCGGCATCATCAGGCGCATTGGCCCCCTCCATGTCGCTGCGCCGCCTCTTCTCCCGCCACGCCTCGCCCGCTGCACAGCGCGAGGAGGGCAGCGCTGCACAGCTGGCCAGTGCGGGGTCGGGCATGGGGGCGGGGCGAGGAGGGGGCGCGGGGGAGGGCGAGGGTGAGAGCAGCGAGGGCGAGGAGGGCAGCGCGGGCACCTTCACCCGCCAGTACACCGCCCCGCCCCGCTGCTCCGCTGCCTCCCAAGGCGACGGTGGCAGTGGGGAGGTTGAACCCCGGGGGATGAGAGGGGCGGGGGGCGATGCCTGCCACCAGCCTGCTCACCTGGACCGGCAGGGCAGCTTGCCTGCCACGTCAGCAGGCGAGGGTGACGAGCAGGCAAGGGATGGGAGGGAGGGGAGGGAGGGGAGGGATGGGGCTCGGGGTAGGGAGCGGCGCAACATGAACATGAACATCAACATTGGGTCGAAGCTCAAGTCGCTGTGGGAGGCCAAGCGGGGTGCCTCCCCGCGCAGCAGCATGAGCAACAGCGGCGGCAGTGGGCCTCCCATGCAGCGCAGCAGCACGGACTCGCGGCGCTCCCCCACGGGCGGGATGGGGCGAGGGGGCATGCAGGCGGGCGACGAGGGCGCCACGGAGGGCAATGAGGCAGCGGGGCTGTTCCGATCGCACACGAGTGGACGCATGGGCAGTGGCACAGGCGGGAGTCCAGAGGGAGGCACATGCGATGATGAGAGTGGCAGCGGCAGCGGCAGCGGCAGCGGCAGCGGCAGCGGCAGCGGCAGCGGCAGCGGCAGGCCAGCAGTGCGGCATGCGTCCATGGCTTTCCACTTCTCGCCCGCCGTGCTGCCCCCCTCCTCTCGCTCGCCCCGCTCCTCCTTCCACCGCTCGCTCTCCGTGCCTCGCCGCCTGGCTGGAGCTGCAGCCGGCGCAGGAGGGGAAAACGGGGCAGGATGTAATGGCGCCGAGGGGGACGAGAGCGAAGAGGGGGTGTTGCAGGGAGAGGACGTGCAGGCAGATACAGCAGCAGGTGCGCCGCTCTCCCCGTCACCACTGTCCCCCTCGCCACTCTCCCGTTCGCCGCTCTCCCCTGCAGTGTCCAGCAGTCGCCACATAGCACGCAGCTTTCAGAGTGAGAGGGAAGTGAGAGGCGGGGCCGGCATGGTGGGCACTCTCGCCACTGGCAGCGCTCCAGGTCCAGGGTCACCCATGCGGGGGGCAGCAGCCACGCAGGCTGCAGCACGCATGGCATCGGTGGCACGCGATGCAGCGACAGTTGGGAATGCAGGGGCGGAGGAGGCGAGGGGCAGTGGCAGGGCGGAGGGCGGAGCAGCAGAGGCGCGTGAGGAGTCGGAGAGAGGGGAGGGCATTGCAGCAGGAGAGGCAGATGGCAGCCGATTGGGCAGGGAGAGTGCAGCGAACGGAGAGAGCAGGGGGGCGGATGGTGGAGCGACGGCGGAGGAGGAGGAGGGGCCAGCGAAGGTGAAGGTGACGCGGCGGCAGTACATGGAGATGAAACGCGCTGCAGAGGCCGCTGCTGCCGCTGCAACAGCAGGAGGCAGCAATGGCGCCCCTCCTCCAGCAGCCGTGCCCACCATTCCCGCCACCCCGCGGTCGCGCTTCGCTGACGCCCTGCAGAGCCCGCGCCTGCTGCCTGAGTGGCACGGCGGGCGCGGCATGGGCGCGGGCAGAGGGGCCGGCAGCGTGCTGGAGAGACGCAAGTTGGGGCTGCGAGGCAAGGCGGCGAGAGATGCCGCCACTGCTGCTGCTGAAAGGGCTTCTAGTGAAGGCGGTGCTGTGGGTAGTAGCGTGCAGGGTGGAGGGGAGGGCAGCCGAGGTGGAGATGTGGAGGGTAGTGGTGCTGTGAGGCAGGCAGGGAGCGTGGGAGACGCAGGGACACAAGGCGAGGTGGGAGGAGTTGAGGAGGGCGAGGGGGAGGTGGTGAAAGAGGCCAGGGAGGACAGTGGAGCAGTGAGTGCTGACTTGCCATGCCTGCCGCCTCCTGACGCCCCTCAAGTCGTGCAGGTAAGGCCACATACATAGTTCCACATCTCGCACTAAATTCATACTATTACCATCACCACTCCCTAACTCCCCCACTCCCTCTGCTCCGCCTGCAACCCTTATCTACTCATACTAAGAGCACTCCATCTTACGGAATACCTCTAGGGCACGTTGGGATAGGCCTTGTCCATGACCCCCAACTCCCATCCCAAACCACCTTCCATCTATCCGTCCCTTCCCCTCCGCCTCCCCCTCCGCCTCCCCCTGTCCCCCATCAGTGCCCACTCTGCGCGCAAGCCCTCGCCGTGCCGCCCATGCCGCGGCGGCGCAAGCAGGGAGGCACGCAGAAGCTGCGGTGCGGCGGCTGCCAGCAGATCTCCACCTTCGCCGCCCCGCCCCTCCCCGCGCACTCCCAACCCTACCAGCCGCCCTTCGCCCCCGCCCACCCCCCCTCCTCACCATCAGCGTCCCTCAGCCCATCCCCCAGGCATCCCCTCGCCTCCCCCTACCGCTCCCTCTCCTCCCCCCTCGCGCGCCTCCCCCCCGCCATCCCCTCCAGTCCCCGTGGTTCCCCCAGTTCCCCCGGCGCCACGCCCAGGGCGGCCCCCCAGTCCCCCCAGGGTGTTCCAAGAAGCACGAGCCAGGAGAGTGGGTCGAGGGGGGCGGGGGGTGGCTGGCATGGGCGCGGGCAGGGCGTGGGGAGCAGGCGGGGCGATGTGACACGAGACCTGTCGCCCCTCAGCGTGCCCTCGCCCCGCCTCGCCCGCGCTCGAGCCAACCCCGCCCCCTCGCCCCTCAAGGCGCACTCAGGTGCGCGTGGGGCAGGCAGGGCGGTGAATGGCGTGGTGGGGGCGGGGGGAGGAGAGGGGCGGCTGCGGGGAGGTATGAGCAGCGGTGGGCAGGAGGGAGACGGAGAGGAGGGGGATGGGGCTGAGGATGTGGGGGGGCGTGTGAGTGGCAGGGGGGACGAGGGCGAGTGGGGTGGGGGGGCAGAGTGTGGGGAAGAAGGGTGGGAGGGGCAGGAGACAGAGGGGGAGGGGTGGGTGGGGGAAAGCATGGGGAGCGAATGGAGTGGGGGGGCGAGCACGGAGTGGAGTGGGGGAGGGGGCAGCGTGCAGTGGAGTGGTGACAGCGCCAGCGAGTGGACGGGGGAGCGCGGCGGGGCGAGGGAGGGCGAGACGTATGAGCGGCGAGTGGTGGTGAACGGGGCTGCCATCAGCGATGCGGATGTGCAGCAGGCCGAGCTGCTCGCCGGACCCATCGACCCCGGCCACTACTGGTGCCCCCCTCCTCTCCCCTCCTCCTCTCTCCCACACCTCCTTCTCCTCCACCTTCCCAAACCTCCTCGAACCTTGCTCTCTCTCACTCCCTTTACCTTGTTCCATCGTCCCACCCCCTCCTCCGTCTTCCCACCTCCTCTCCCTCTCGCTCTCCCGCATTCCCTTGTGACACACAAGTCCGTGTGTCCCAGCCGTGCTTGCTCGCTCAGCTTGCCCCACTGTCCCGCGCTGCGCCCCTACACCCCTCCGCAGGTACGACATGCGAGCTGGCTTCTGGGGAGTCATGGGTGGACCCAGCCTCGGTATTCTGCCTGTGAGTTCCGCCTTGCACCTCCCTGCACCCCTCTGCACCTCCCTGCACCTCCCTGCATCTCCCTGCACCTCTTCACACGTCTGCGCCTCCCTGCACCTCCTCACACCTCTGCACCTCCTTGCACCTCCTCACACCTCTGCACCTACTTGCACCTCCTCACACCTCTGCACCTCCTTGCACCTCCTCACACCTCTGCACCTCCCAGCACCTCTTCACGCCTCTGCACCTCCCTGCCCTGCACCTCCCTGCATCTCTCTGCACCTCCCTTCACCTCCCTGCACCTCCTCACACCTCTGCACCTCCCAGCACCTCCTCACACCTCTGCACCTCCCTGCACCTCCTCACACCTCTGCACCTCCCAGCACCTCTTCACGCCTCTGCACCTCCCTGCTCTCCTGCATCATTCATGCACTACACAAGTTAGTTCTATTCATTCACACCTTCACACACTCGTCCTTGCTGGTCCCACCGCACGTGCCACCTCCCCTTCCAACCCTTCAACTCGGATCTTTCCTTCCCTCCCCCCTTCTTCACCACCTGGTCTCCCCCTTCCCTTTCTCACCCCCTTTCCCCCATTCACCCCGCCAATCCCATCTGCCCCTACACCCCCACCCCTCCGCCCCCAGGCGAACATACCGCAGCTGAGGGAGCCAATGAGGCGGGACTGTGCGGGGGGGCGCACGCGGGTGCTGGTGAACGGGCGCGAGCTGTGCCAGCGGGACCTGGCGCCGCTCACACGGCGGGGCATGCCGGGGGCAGCGCAGCGGCAGTACACTCTGGACGCGTCGGGGCACCTGCGCGATGCCGCCTCCTCCGCCCTCGTCTCCCACCTCGGCCACCTCGCCCCCTCGTATGCCTCTTCCTGCTGCCTCCTATGCCCCTGCCTGCTCTGGCCTATTCCCCTGCCTGCTCTGTCCTATTCCCCTGCCTGCTCTGGCCTATTCCCCTGCCTGCTCTGTCCTATTCCCCTGCCTGCTCTGGCCTATTCCCCTGCCTGCTCTGGCCTATTCCCCTGCCTGCTCTGGCCTATTCCCCTGCCTGCTCTGGCCTATTCCCCTGCCTGCTCTGGCCTATTCCCCTGCCTGCTCTGGCCTATTCCCCTGCCTGCTCTGTCCTATTCCCCTGCCTGCTCTGGCCTATTCCCCTGCCTGCTCTGTCCTATTCCCCTGCCTGCTCTGGCCTATTCCCCTGCCTGCTCTGGCCTATTCCCCTGCCTGCTCTGGCCTATTCCCCTGCCTGCTCTGTCCTATTCCCCTGCCTGCTCTGGCCTATTCCCGTGCCTGCTCTGGCCTATTCCCCTGCCTGCTCTGGCCTATTCCCCTGCCTGCTCTGGCCTATTCCCCTGCCTGCTCTGTCCTATTCCCCTGCCTGCTCTGGCCTATTCCCCTGCCTGCTCTGTCCTATTCCCCTGCCTGCTCTGGCCTATTCCCCTGCCTGCTCTGGCCTATTCCCCTGCCTGCTCTGTCCTATTCCCCTGCCTGCTCTGTCCTATTCCCCTGCCTGCTCTGTCCTATTCCCGTGCCTGCTCTGTCCTATTCCCGTGCCTGCTCTGTCCTATTCCCGTGCCTGCTCTGCCCTATTTCCGTGCCTGCTCTGTCCCATGCCTCCCTCCTTGCTCCCTCGTATGGCCACCTCGTATAAACGTGTCGAGGCCAACCAACTAGAACGAGAATGCTGAGGTGGAGAAGGTGCACATCATGGCGTACAGCAGCAAGCCGACTAGCTTAGCGCACGGGTGGGAGTAGGGTGCGATGAGCTGCTGATTGGAGGGGGAGGGAGGGCCAACAGCTAGGCTTTGGTAATTCCGAGCGGCTCCAAGCCGTGGTGGATATGAAATGAGTGGGAGAAGGTGATGATGCGGGCAGCATAGTCACCAGTAGGGACACCCGTGTGGTTTTAGAGCTCACCTACGTCCTTGCAATGAGCGGGCAGCACGCACGCAGTGACTGTTTTGTCGGCGTCGAGCCAGTTGGGTGATCGGAAACGAGAATGATGATCACACAACTGACAGATTCGTGAGTGCAAGGTGGGGGCCGAGATGAAGTCTCGCCCAAGTGAATTTATGGAGGGGGGTTGGCGGACAGGTTGGTTGGTGGAACATAAGCAAGAATGAAGAATCGAGGAGAAGAGGAGGGAATCAGCATTTTGTTGTGAGGGTGAGAAGCAGTGAAGCGTATGGACTACAAGGTGGCAGTGAGCTAGGCGTGTCACTCCCAGGTGGCGAAGCTTTGACACTGTTCCGGAAGAGAAGATTGGATGAGATGAAAGGGTCGCTGCATGAAGATTGGATGAGATGAAAGGGTCGCTGCATGAAGATTGGATGAGATGAAAGGGTCGCTGCATGAAGATTGGATGAGATGAAAGGGTCGCTGCATGAAGATCCGCTTGTGCCCTCGACATTCAATGAGCGAATCTCAGTGTTGGCACATGCACCGACAACCAACACACTAGGGGAGTGCGGGAGCGAATGAATGAGTAGGTGGCAACAAGGGGGTTAAGAATCCCTTTTGAGTCGACTCAAAAGCTGAGTAGGTGGCAACAAGGGGGTTAAGAATCCCTTTTGAGTCGACTCAAAAGCTGAGTAGGTGGCAACAAGGGGGTTAAGAATCCCTTTTGAGTCGACTCAAAAGCTGAGTAGGTGGCAACAAGGGGGTTAAGAATCCCTTTTGAGTCGACTCAAAAGCTGAGTAGGTGGCAACAAGGGGGTTAAGAATCCCTTTTGAGTCGACTCAAAAGCTGAGTAGGTGGCAACAAGGGGGTTAAGAATCCCTTTTGAGTCGACTCAAAAGCTGAGTAGGTGGCAACAAGGGGGTTAAGAATCCCTTTTGAGTCGACTCAAAAGCTGAGTAGGTGGCAACAAGGGGGTTAAGAATCCCTTTTGAGTCGACTCAAAAGCTGAGTAGGTGGCAACAAGGGGGTTAAGAATCCCTTTTGAGTCGACTCAAAAGCTGAGTAGGTGGCAACAAGGGGGTTAAGAATCCCTTTTGAGTCGACTCAAAAGCTGAGTAGGTGGCAACAAGGGGGTTAAGAATCCCTTTTGAGTCGACTCAAAAGCTGAGTAGGTGGCAACAAGGGGGTTAAGAATCCCCTCTTCAAAATCCGAGTGGAGGTGACTGATCGGGCAGCCAAGGTGAGTGTAGGAGTGCTTGGGCTAGCAGGTGATGGCAACAAGAGCATCAGCGTTGGTATGAAGGAAAGAGATTGCGGAGTACATGCTGTGGTCGCCCTGGAGTACATGCTGTGGTCGCCCTGGAGTACATGCTGTGGTCGCCCTGGAGTACATGCTGTGGTCGCCCTGGAGTACATGCTGTGGTCGCCCTGGAGTACATGCTGTGGTCGCCCTGGAGTACATGCTGTGGTCGCCCTGGTGCCGGGCGGGAGAGCATGAGGGGGAGGGGTCACGATGACCCTCATTGGTCCATGCGGACACAGTCAAGAGAGTGGAGTGAGCGGGGCTAGATTGATGGGAAGGTTGATAAGGAGGCAAGGAAAAGCAACGGTGGGAGACAAGGAGGAAGAGGCAGCAGAGGAGAATTATGCTTCAGGAGGGAGCGAGGAAGGGAGTGCGTTGGTACCGGCACGAGTGGTGTGATGTAACAAACGGATGTGCGAGGAGAAGTAGAAAGGCTGCAAGGGAAAGAGGTGGTTGAGGGCAAAGTGGTGGTTGGGAGGGGCAACTACCGTTGGTCCCAACATGTGGTTGGAAGAACCAATCACAATAGTGGGGCAAAGGCTGTTTGGTTGTCTATTACCACAGCTTGTTGGTTATTCCAATTCATCACGCCAACACACATGTATACTCAAAAGGGATACCTACATGTTCAACCTAACTCTACACCACAAACCAAACAGTAACATTAGTCTAGCATGCTATAACTCGTAAATCTGCCCCTGCACCCTTGTGTGCTCCCCTCTGCCCTCCCCTCTCCCTTCCTCCCCCGACCTGCTGCTTTGCTGTCCCTCCTTCCATGCTCTCCCCGACCCCCTGCCTTCATCTAACCTGGCTGCTGTTTCGCCATCCCTGCTGCCTGTGCCATCTCTCCCTTGCTGGCCCGTCATTGGAACGTATCACGGTGATGCATCAGCCTCGAGCACGCTGCATGCCCACATGCCCGTATGCTCACGTTCCCACATCTAACCTGCTCGCAAGCCCACGTGCCTGCTTGACCATATGCCCCATGCTCACTTCATTGCCCATGCCAGACACACCATGAGTCTGTGACTTATTGGGGCCCGTGGATCAGACTGGCTGGCATCACATCACATCGTCTCACTTGCCACGGTGCTGCCTGCCATGCGCTCACCTGCCATTCCTTGTGTGTGCCTCTGTGCTGCCCAGATTGGAGTCCACAAGAGGCAACGGCATGTACACTCCCTCGCCACGCTGACTGCCCTCAGCGCCGTGTCCGCTTGCAGAATGGATGCATGTGTCTCCGTTGTGCACGCATCGTCACATATGCTAATCCGCTTCATTCAATACTTGGAGGCTTGAGTAATTTATGGTGGTAGCACAACACTAATGATATAGTTTTTGTGGCCCTTCATTATTCAGTTCCATGTCCAAGCACTTTTTCTTGCTAATTCTGTTAGCAGTCCAACCTGGCAGATTATATGTCAGTACACTTATTGTCAGCTTGTCGCTGTATTGTCGGACTCACCTGAAGGTCGGATCTGTATTACTGTGAGAATCTAACCTGCGGCACAGTTGCGATGGTCCAGTTGAGTTGCGAGCAATTCGCGATACATCCGCCAATCCAAGGCGACGCTCACCATCCGTGCGAGGCAGGCGACGTTCTCCTCACCGCCCATCTGCCGAAATTCGTACTTGGGGGGGATTTTTCCTTGAGCTCTCACCTTTTGCACTGTTCCAGCACTTTTTATGGCGTCTCCTCCCACCCAGCCATGGGTGATTGCGGTTCAGTAAGGTGCTTGGCGTTCTGACTGTGAGGTATTGAATCAGAAGGCGAGAGTTTGAGCCTTGAGACCTTTTCAGGGCGGCGTTCGCGATTGCATACGCTTTTCGAAGCTTCGACATGAGACTACTCCTCGCGATGTCCCCTTACCTTCCGCGATTTCGTTGCTAAGACACACAGTTTTCGCCAAAACAGCGACGATCTGGCCGTTCACTTAGAAAACATATCAGTTCCTTTTTAATCTAGCAACGGTTCCTCCTCGCTTTCCCCGCCGCGATGACCATTCCGAACCCTATTTTTCCGTCCGCGTCGCGGGCCGATGTGAGAAGTCGGTACCAGCTGGGGCGGGAGCTGGGCAAAGGCGGTGGCGGCGTGGTACGGATGTGCGGCGACGTGGCGACGGGCGAGGCGGTGGCGGCGTGCAAGAGCATTCCCAAATGCAAGCTGCAGGTGCGCGCGGAAGAGGGGGGAGGAGGATGAGGGGGGGAGGGGAAGGGGGGGAAGGGTGGGGGGGTGTGTGAAGCGGCGAGAGTTCGCACGGCTGCGGAGACACACTCACGGCGGACGGGCGCGCAGACGATGAGGGGTCGTTGAAGTGGCGGGCGCGCTGATGGCGTGGTGTGAGGGAATGGCGCGCTGATGGCGTGGCGTGAGGGAATGGCGCGCTGATGGCGTGGCGTGAGGGAATGGCGCGCTGATGGCGTGGCGTGAGGGAATGGCGCGCTGAGAGGAACGGCGTGGATGCAGGATAGGCTTTGTCCAATGCGTTGCGCCTCTCGCCATCCCCGTCTCATCCGCCATTCCCTCTCATTCCCATCATTTTTCTCCCCTAACCCTCTCATCGTTCTTTTAAAAGCGTTCCTTCCCCGTACCCCCCCCCCGTTCCCCGTCCTTACCCTACGCTCCAATTCTCTGCTCTTCCCCGCGTTCACCCGTGCGCGCAACTGCTGCTCCCCTCGCGTCCGCCACGCGCGCTCACCACCGTCCGCGCGCGCAGCGCAAGGAGGCGCGGGAGGAGCTGCAAGGGGAGGTGGCGGCGATGCGGCGCGTGGGGGGGCACGCGCACGTGGTGGCGCTGCGCGCGCTGTTCGAGGACGCGGAGAGCGTGCACCTGGTGATGGACCTCTGCGCGCACGGCGACCTCTACGACTACCTCATCGCGCGCACCACGCTGCCCGAGCCGCTCGCCGCTGACGTCACCAGGTGAGCCGAGCGCTGACGTCACCGGGGCAGTCACAGAGTGTGTCCGCGCGCGGTTGTGCTGTGCTTCTCCTTGCACTGCACCGAGCGCACTGCACTGCAGGAGCCCGCCCGTGCCAGCTGCCGCATGCTGCTGTGCTGACTCCCCTGCCCCCACCTCCACAGCGCGCCATTTGTGCCAGATCCCTGCTCGCCCTGCCCCCTGCCTCGCATCCGGCGCGCTACACTGCGCCGTGAAGCCTCTCCCGCGCTCACCACCCTGCCCACCGCCGCACCCCCTCTCCCTGCTCCCATCACTCTCTCCTTCGCCTTTTCCACCCCCTCTTCCCTTCCACCCCCCTCATTCCTCCCTATCCCCCTGCGCCTCATTGCCCCCCTGCGGGCAGGTCCTACTGGCCCTACACCACTGCCACGCGTCAGGAGTGGTGCATCGCATCGGGACATCGGGACATTGGGTGCTCACCACCTGCTCCCATCCCTCGCTCCTTTTCCTGCCCCTCGGCCCCTTCCCCCTCGCGCCTACCCCCCCTTCCGCAGGCAGATCCTACTGGCCCTACACCACTGCCACGCGTCCGGAGTGGTGCATCGGGACATCAAGCCCCTCCCGCGCTCACCCCCGAGCCAATCGCCCCATCCGCGCTCCCTGCTCCCATCCCCTCTTCCCTTCACCCTCCAATCCCACCTGCGGGCAGATCCTACTGGCCCTACACCACTGCCACGCGTCAGGCGTGGTGCATCGGGACATCACGCCCCTCCCGTGCTCCCCACCTCTTCCCTTTCCTCCCCTCCATCCCCCTCGTCTCCGCCCCTGCCCCTCCCCTTCCCCCCCACAGGCAGATCCTACTAGCCCTACACCACTGCCATGCGTCGGGCGTGGTGCACCGCGACATCAAGCCCGAGAACATCCTGCTCGCCGCCAAGGACGAAGCTGCGGGGAAGCTGCACCTGAAGCTGGCAGACTTTGGCTTAGCAGTGATGCTACGTGCCGGGCAGCAAGCGGTGGGCATGTACGGCAGCGCGGTGTACATGTCTCCGGAGGTCGTGTGCCGCCGCCCCTATGGGCCCGCTGTGGACCTCTGGGGGCTGGGCGTCATCCTCTACACCGCTCTCTCAGGTGCCGTACCCCCCTCTCCATCTCTCCACCTCTCCACCTCTCCACCTCTCCCCTCTCCTCGTGCACCAGAACCGACCTGCTCTCTTCTCAACTCTCTCTTTGCTGCACTTCCTCTCCCGTGTCTCCACACCAACGCCCGTTCCGAACTCCCCACACCCCCCCCCTCCCCCTCCCCCCCACACCAACCGCCTCAACGCCCCCACCCCCGTGGCCGTCCCCCGGCAGGCTACATGCCGTTTTGGGGCAGCACGGACGAGCAGCTCTTCTTCCGCATTCTGCGCAACCAGCCCGACTTCTCCATCGCGCCCTGGCCCTCCGTCGCCCCCGCCGCCATCGACCTCGTGCGCTGGCTGCTCTCCTCCGACCCCGCCCACCGCCCCTCCGCCGCCGCCGCGCTGCACCACCCCTGGCTCGCCCAGCACTGCGGCCGGGAACCCCTTCCCTCGCCCCGCCCCGCCCCCTCCCCGTGTGTTCCGGTGGGCGCGCCTGGCTGGGCGGGCGAGGGCGGTGTGGAGGGCGGCAGGGAGGGGAAGAGAGAGGGGGAGCGTGTGAAAGCAGCAGCAGAGGCAGGCGGGGGTGCGGCCGTGGGGAGAGGAATGGAGGGGGTTGGCAGTGGGAGGGGCGGTGTGGCGGGTGGTGCAGCAGCAGCAGCAGGTGGGAGCAGAGACACGGAGATGGGTGGTGTGGAGCCGCAGCGCACCTCATGGGATGGTGCTGCAGGCAGTGCCAGTGGGGCAGCGGCTGTCGGAGGAAAGGAGAGCGGCTGGCAGCAGGGCAAGCAGGAGCAGCAAGGAGAGGCGGGTGGGAGGCAAGAGCAAGGGGCTGGGGCAGCGGCACATGGGAGCATGGATGTGGACTCACAACAGGGGGCGAGCACGGCACAGCAGGGGCAGAGCACGGCACAGCAGGGGCAGAGCACGGCACAGCAGGGTGGGCGGCAAAAGCAGCCCAAGGCACCGGCCATCCAGCTGCCTGTGTTGGCGTCCTTCACGGGCCCCGCGTCGCCCCTCTTCTCCTCGCCCACTAGCACCCGCTCTGCTGCTGGCGGCGGTGTGTTCCTCTTCACTGCTCGCCCTGCCAGTGGCAGCACCAGCCATGCAGGCTCGGGTGGGGGCATGTGGGAGAGGGAGAGCAGCAAGGCGAAGCACAAGGAGCAGCAGCGGCAGCAGGTGCAGCGCCACTCACATGCACACAAGCAGCAGGAGCAGCAGCGAGGTGCAGCAGCAGCAGCAGGCAGCAAGGACGGCCACAAGGAAGGCCCTCCGAAAGCACCCGTGGAAGCAGCAGAGCACAAGGCGCGGCGGTCGTCGCACTTCCGGTTCTTCTCCCCCAAACGCAAGGCTCGTCGCTCCCATGTCGTCGTCTCCACCACCCCGCTCCCTGCCCCTCCACCCCCTCCCCTCTCGTCCCCGTCCCCATCCCAATCCCCTCTGGGCGTGTCTGAGCCCCCCGCCCAGGCCACACCCCCTGCGTCCTCCTCGTCCACTGCCCCCATGGCCTCCATCACCGTCCCCCTCGTGCGCCGCCACCCCCCCTCCTCTGCCGCTGCGTCCCCCACTGCTGCGGCTACTGACGCTGGTGCTTCTGCCCCCACGGATAGTGCTGCTGTACCATCCACGGCGCCGGTTGTGTCCGTCACCATCCCTGTCATCCCGCCCAAGCCCCCTCTCGACCCAACCCAAGAGCTCCCATCCGTACCTGAGATCCAGGCTCGGCTATCCGGGCCTGACGGGTCCATACCAGTGTCATCGCTCTTCTCCTTCCTGCGACCCCTCAACCCCATGGCCGCCAGGAAAAGTTCTTCCTCCTCCTCCCGTGCTGCACATCCAAACTCCAACTCATCCACATCCACAGCGCCACCCAGCTTCCTCTACAGCCCACGCGAGCCCCTCAAGTCGGCCCATCACCACCACTCCTTCTCTGCAGTGAGCACCACCACCACCAGCAGCAGCAGCGGCGGCCTGCTCCCCTCCAGCAACCCTCCACGTGCGCCCGCTGCCTCCACTGCTGCGTCGGAGCCGTCGTTTGGGTTGGGGCGCCTGGCGCGGCCGCTGCACGGCATGGCGGCCCTCATGCGCCCCGCCTCCCCCTCCGCCTCTTCCCCCGCACTCGCCCCCTCGCCGTCAGACTCGCCGCAGCACAGCAGCATGGGGGTGGGACGGGCAGGAACGAGTGCACACACACAGGCACATGATGAGGGCTCCACAGGCACAGTGCCACGCACACACCTCACCACCTCCGCCAGTGCACCCAATGTGGCCGGCATGCCTGGCAGTGCTGCTGCTGCCTCGGGGCCTGCAGTGCCGCATGCGCCTCGCCGCGCCAGAGGGCTCAGCTCCATTGTCAAGGCCTTCGCCTCGCTCTCCACTGCTGCTGCGGGTCCCCTGGGTAATGTGGGGTCCGGTCAGCAGCACAGTGGGGTGAGCATGGGTGCTGTGGGCGGTGGTGGTGGTGGTGGAAGAGAGAGTGCGAGGCGTGGAGAGGATTTGCACAAGGGGCAGCAAGAGAATGGGGATTCACTAAGTGTGAGTCGCTCAGAAGCGGTTAGTGAAGGCGTGTCATTTAGGGATTCGTTTACATGGCAACGACAGGGTAGCTGGATCTTTCGACGATAATGCGCTGTGCACTGTTGGTTGCTCCCTCGGTGCATTATTGCATTGCGTTTATACAGTATCACAAGTGTATGTTGTTTTGTTTTCCTCAAAATGCAATGCAATTTGAAGGTCCTTCCATGATTGACGGGCCCAAAATATTCAGATACCCTAGATGAACCACAACGCACAATACCACGGATATGGTGTGAATAATCTTCGCGAGAATCTCTGTAACGAGTTCAGATTCAAAACTTGACCACCCGTCCATATCAAACATGCACATTCATTTTCATTCACTTGGGCTTGTTTTCAAGTGCTGCTTGACAGCTGCTGCTGCCGCAATTTCACGGGCTTGACGGGCCCTAGACAGTTGTTGTTTCATTCTCGGGCGGGCAGCTGAAAGATAGAAATTCGCCTCGTAAGCCTCGCTAGCCAATCTTCCTTTCCGACCTTCCGATACTCACCGCGAACACTCGGCCTCCCTCGCTTTCTTCCCGCCAGCAATCCGCCACCCCGCGCTCCCCTGCGCGCAATGGCGGACCCGATGGACGTGGACCCCGCGGAAGCAGGCTTGCGGAAGGCGCGGGATAAGGGGAAGGGGAAGCTGGACGAGGGGGGAAAGGGGAAGGGGAAGGGGAAAGCGGAAGACGCAGCGGACGGGTCGCGCGGCGCCGCGGCCGCCTCTGCGATGCCGTGGGTGGAGAAGTACCGACCCAAGTCGCTTGCTGACGTGGCAGCGCATAAAGACATCGTGGATACGAGTTAGTATGGGGGCGGGGAGGGTACTGGCGGCGTGACTCGTGGCGCCGTGTCTCATCATGGCGACACGAATCACGCTGCACGGAGCTGCTGGGTGGGGGCGCCATCACACCCTTGTCCGCGTCCCATCTCCCCCGTTCTCTCTCCCCCCATCCCTCTCCCCCGGTCTCTCTCCCCCCATACCTCTCCCCCGGTCTCTCTCCCCCCATCCCTCTCCCCCGGTCTCTCTCCCCCCATCCCTCTCCCCCGGTCTCTCTCCCCCCATCCCTCTCCCCCGGTCTCTCTCCCCCCATCCCTCTCCCCCGGTCTCTCTCCCCCCATCCCTCTCCCCCGGTCTCTCTCCCCCCATCCCTCTCCCCCGGTCTCTCTCCCCCCATCCCTCTCCCCCGGTCTTTCTCCCCCCATCCCTCTCCCCCGGTCTCTCTCCCCCCATCCCTCTCCCCCGGTCTCTCTCCCCCCATCCCTCTCCCCCGGTCTCTCTCCCCCCATCCCTATCCCCCGGTCTCTCTCCCCCCATCCCTCTCCCCCGGTCTCTCTCCCCCCATCCCTCTCCCCCGGTCTCTCTCCCCCCATCCCTCTCCCCCGGTCTCTCTCCCCCCATCCCTCTCCCCCGGTCTCTCTCCCCCCATCCCTCTCCCCCGGTCTCTCTCCCCCCATCCCTCTCCCCGGTCTCTCTCCCCCCATCCCTCTCCCCCGGTCTCTCTCCCCCCATCCCTATCCCCCGGTCTCTCTCCCCCATCCCTATCCCCGGTCTCTCTCCCCCATCCCTCTCCCCCGGTCTCTCTCCCCCCATCCCTCTCCCCCGGTCTCTCTCCCCCCATCCCTCTCCCCCAGTCTCTCTCCCCCCATCCCTCTCCCCCGGTCTCTCTCCCCCCATCCCTCTCCCCCAGTCTCTCTCCCCCCATCCCTCTCCCCCGGTCTCTCTCCCCCCATCCCTCTCCCCCGTTCTCTCTCCCCCCATCCCTCTCCCCCGTTCTCTCCCCCCCATCCCTCTCCCCTACTTCAGTCAGCCGCTGAGCCGCCTCCCAGCTGCCATCAGCTGCGCTACCTCCGTCCCTCCCAGCACCGGCAAGACGTCCACCGTGCTGGCGCCGGCCAGTGTCTCAGGCTGAGACTCTCACCCCATCCCAACCCTGCTCTTCTTTCTCCCATCTCCCTTGCTCCTTGCCGCTGCCCCTCTCTCTTCCTTGTCGATCCACATCCCTTGCCCCTACCGCACAGTCAGCCGCCTAACAGCGTCCAACCGCCTGCCCCATCTGCTGCTGTACGGCCCGCCCGGCACGGGCAAGACGTCGACGGTGCTGGCGGTGGCGCGGCAGCTGTACGGGGCGGGGGGCGTGAGGAACATGTGTCTGGAGCTCAACGCCAGCGACGAGAGGGGCATCGATGTGGTGCGCCAGCAGGTGCAGGACTTCGCCTCCACCCAGTCCATCAGCTTCGGGTGAGTCAACGCAATCCATCAGCTTCGGGTGAGTCAACGCAGTCCATCAGCTTCGGGTGAGTCAACGCAGTCCATCAGCTTCGGGTGAGTCAACGCAGTCCATCAGCTTCGGGTGAGTCAACGCAGTCCATCAGCTTCGGGTGAGTCAACGCAGTCCATCAGCTTCGGGTGAGTCAACGCAGTCCATCAGCTTCGGGTGAGTCAACGCAGTCCATCAGCTTCGGGTGAGTCAACGCAGTCCATCAGCTTCGGGTGAGTCAACGCAGTCCATAAGCTTCGGGTGAGTCAACGCAGTCCATCAGCTTCGGGTGAGTGAGTCAATGCAAGTCAAGCTAGTCATCCCGTTTTGCATCCATCCTCCGTCTCTCTCCTTCCCTCCGCCTTTCCTTCACTTGTCATGCGCCTCCACCCAACAGAACAATTCCGAAGCTATTCTAATGATGATATTCCCCCTCCCCTCCCCGCCACACCTCGTAGTCTCAGCGCCAAGGCAGCAGTGAAGCTGATGGTGCTGGACGAGGCGACCAATCATCCATCATCTTCCCCTCCTTTCCCTTCACCCTCCCTTCCCCTCGTTTCCCTTCACCCTCCCTTCCCCTCGCCCTGCCTTCCCAACCCCGTGCCTCCACTCCCTCTCCCCCCCGGCAGAGCCAAGGCGGCGGTGAAGCTGGTGGTGTTGGACGAGGCGGACGCCATGACCAAGGACGCGCAGTTCTCCCTGCGCCGCGGTGCGTGCCGCTGCTCTGCTACACTCCGTGCCCTTTCTCTCCGTGCGCGAGTGCGAGGGTGGGAGAGTGGGAGCTAGAGTGTGCAGAAGTGCACAAGTGCGTGTGGCAACTCTCGTTCTCTCCCACCAGCCCACTCAATGACTTCCTCACCACCACCACACCAGTGCTCGCGCCTTGCACATGGAATCATTCCCTCCCAGCCATATCCCCCTTCCACACTGTCCTCAACCGCCCCTCCACTCACACCCGTTTCCTCACCCTCTTTCTCTTTAATCCCGTTGTCTCACCTCCCCCTCCCTCCTCCCCTCCCCCTTCCTCCCTCCACCTCCCCCTCCCGCTCCCCCTCCCCCCCAGTGATAGAGAAGTACACGCGCAGCACGCGCTTTTGTCTCATCTGCAACCACGTCAGCAAGATCATCCCAGCCCTCCAATCGCGCTGCACACGCTTCCGCTTCGCCCCGCTCTCCTCTGCTGACGTCACTGCCAGGCTCAGACACGTCATCCAGGAAGAGGGGTGAGTAGGTGGGGGGAAGTGGACAAAAAGGGGTGACTGGTGACTAGGTAGGGGGTTGTATATACAATTGCAGGGTATGTTTTTTGAGAATTCTCAATTTCAGGTGCCTGAAACAAAAATGACGGTGACTGGAGGAGGCCCGAGTGGTTGAGTGGGAAGGGTGAACAAGTGAGGTATACTATGCCGTGTCAGACTTGGAGAATGAGCCGTGCTCAGCCGCCCACTCACCAATCCCTCTCTTTGTCTCCCCTCCCTTGCCGCCCAGCCAGTCTGGACGTCACAGATGGCGCGCTGTCAGCCGTTGTGACCCTCAGTGCTGGTGACATGCGCCGCGCTCTCAACATCTTGCAGGTACCACCTCCCCCAGGTACCACCTCCCCCAGATACCGCCTCTCTCTGGCATTGTATCACTTTCCCCAGGTATCACCTCTGCACACATGCGCTCCCTGCTCACCCTCTGCTCACCCTCTGTTCCCACCCACCCCAGTCAACCCCAACCCCACCCACTCACGTGGCATGGCTGCCAGCAGTTCGTTTACACGGCGGGCATGGTGCGCCACCATGCAGATCCAGAGGAAGCTGTGTGCTTGAGACAGCCCAACCTCATGCCCCCATGCCCATGTGCTTCCTCTCTCCCCACCCTGTCGCCATCCCCTCCTGCCCTTCCACCCTGTCGCCATCCCCTCCTGCCCTTCCACCCTGTCGCCATCCCCTCCTGCCCTTCCACCCTGTCACCATCCCCTCCTGCCCTTCCACCCTGTCACCATCCCCTCCTGCCCTTCCACCCTGTCACCATCCCCTCCTGCCCTTCCACCCTGTCACCATCCCCTCCTGCCCTTCCACCCTGTCACCATCCCCTCCTGCCCTTCCACCCTGTCACCATCCCCTCCTGCCCTTCCACCCTGTCACCATCCCCTCCTGCCCTTCCACCCTGTCACCATCCCCTCCTGCCCTTCCACCCTGTCACCATCCCCTCCTGCCCTTCCACCCTGTCACCATCCCCTCCTGCCCTTCCACCCTGTCACCATCCCCTCCTGCCCTTCCACCCTGTCACCATCCCCTCCTGCCCTTCCACCCTGTCACCATCCCCTCCTGCCCTTCCACCCTGTCACCATCCCCTCCTGCCCTTCCACCCTGTCACCATCCCCTCCTGCCCTTCCACCCTGTCACCATCCCCTCCTGCCCTTCCACCCTGTCACCATCCCCTCCTGCCCTTCCACCCTGTCACCATCCCCTCCTGCCCTTCCACCCTGTCACCATCCCCTCCTGCCCTTCCACCCTGTCACCATCCCCTCCTGCCCTTCCACCCTGTCACCATCCCCTCCTGCCCTTCCACCCTGTCACCATCCCCTCCTGCCCTTCCACCCTGTCACCATCCCCTCCTGCCCTTCCACCCTGTCACCATCCCCTCCTGCCCTTCCACCCTGTCACCATCCCCTCCTGCCCTTCCACCCTGTCACCATCCCCTCCTGCCCTTCTCCCCGGTATTCTCCATACCCTCTCCCCGGTATTCTCCATACCCTCTCCCCGGTATTCTCCATACCCTCTCCCCGGTATTCTCCATACCCTCTCCCCGGTATTCTCCATACCCTCTCCCCGGTATTCTCCATACCCTCTCCCCGGTATTCTCCATACCCTCTCCCCGGTATTCTCCATACCCTCTCCCCGGTATTCTCCATACCCTCTCCCCGGTATTCTCCATACCCTCTCCCCGGTATTCTCCATACCCTCTCCCCGGTATTCTCCATACCCTCTCCCCGGTATTCTCCATACCCTCTCCCCGGTATTCTCCATACCCTCTCCCCGGTATTCTCCATACCCTCTCCCTGGTATTCTCCATACCCTCTCCCCGGTATTCTCTTCAAAATGCCCTGTCGCCCTCCCCCACACCCTCCCTGCCAGTCCACGCACATGTCATGCCCCACGGACATGATAGAGGCGCTAGTGTATGCCAGCACAGGCAACCCCAGGCCTGCTTTCTCTTCCCCCTCCTCTCTCACATTCTCTCGCCTCAATCCCCAACTCCATCTGCTGCCCCACAGTCCAGCCACATAGATGTCCTGCCCCACCACCAAGACAGATGAGGCCGTTTATGCCAGCACTGCAACCTAATGACCTCCTTTTCCCTCCTCCTCTGGCCTCACCCCTTCCCTCCATGTCTCCTTGTGTTGCTTTTGGCCCCCTCAGTCCACGCACATGTCATGCCCAAACACCATGACAGAGGAGGCGGTGTATGCCAGCACAGGCAACCCCATGCCCAAGGACATTCAGCAGATGGCGCACTGGCTGCTCAATGAACCGTTCTGCACCGCACTGCAACGTGAGCTGATCATTCGCACTGCAGAGGAGCATGGACTTGAGCACTCACCACCGCATGCGCTGCACTGCATGAGCCGCACGGGTTGCATCGGTTCACAGTCTCATGGGGTACGAGGCCCAACCGTGACACGCCCTCCTTGCCTCTCTCTCTCCCCCCCGACCTTCCTTCCTCCCCTCCTGCCTCTTTCTCTCCCCGCGTGCCTCCCTCTACCCCCGCGTGCCTCCCGCCCCCTCTGGCACGAGGCAGGCATTCTGCGGGTGAAGGAGGTAAAGGGGCTGGCGCTCATAGACATTGTGCGCTACCTGCACGGGTATGTGTGTGGGGGTATATGCATGTGGGTATATGCATGTGGGTATATGCATGTGGGCATGTGTGTGGGGTTATATGCATGTGGGTATGTGTGTGGGGTTATATGCATGTGGGTATGTGTGTGGGGTTATATGCATGTGGGAATGTGTGTGGGGGTATATGCATGTGGGTATGTGTGTGGGGTTATATGCATGTGGGTATGTGTGTGGGGTTATATGCATGTGGGTATGTGTGTGGGGGTATATGCATGTGGGAATGTGTGTGGGGTTATATGCATGTGGGTATGTGTGTGGGGGTATATGCATGTGGGTATGTGTGTGGGGGTATATGCATGTGGGTATGTATGTGGGGTTATATGCATGTGGATATGTGTGTGGGGTTATATGCATGTGGGTATGTGTGTGGGGTTATATGCATGTGGGCATGTTTGTGGGGTTAAATGCATGTGGGTATGTATGTGGGGTTATATGCATGTGGGTATGTGTGTGGGGGTATATGCATGTGGGTATATGCATGTGGGTATATGCATGTGGGTATATGCATGTGGGTATGTGTGTGGGGTTATATGCATGTGGGTATGTGTGTGGGGTTATATGCATGTGGGTATGTGTGTGGGGGTATATGCATGTGGGAATGTGTGTGGGGTTATATGCATGTGGGTATGTGTGTGGGGTTATATGCATGTGGGTATGTGTGTGGGGGTATATGCATGTGGGAATGTGTGTGGGGTTATATGCATGTGGGTATGTGTGTGGGGGTATATGCATGTGGGTATGTGTGTGGGGGTATATGCATGTGGGTATGTATGTGGGGTTATATGCATGTGGATATGTGTGTGGGGTTATATGCATGTGGGTATGTGTGTGGGGTTATATGCATGTGGGCATGTTTGTGGGGTTAAATGCATGTGGGTATGTATGTGGGGTTATATGCATGTGGGTATGTGTGTGGGGTTCTATGCATGTGGGTATGTGTGTGGGGTTCTATGCATGTGGGTATGTGTGTGGGGTTATATGCATGTGGGTATGTGTGTGGGGTTAAATGCATGTGGGTATGTATGTGGGGTTATATGCTTGTGGGTATGTGTGTGGGGTTATATGCATGTGGGTATGTGTGTGGGGGTATATGCATGTGGGTATGTATGTGGGGTAATATGCATGTGGGTATGTGTGTGGGGGTATATGCATGTGGGTATGTATGTGGGGTTATATGCATGTGTGTATGTATGTGGGGTTATATGCATGTGGGTATGTATGTGGGGTTATATGCATGTGGGTATGTATGTGGGGTTATATGCATGCGGGTATGTGTGTGGGGTTATATGCATGTGGGTATGTATGTGGGGTTATATGCATGTGGGTATGTATGTGGGGTTATATGCATGTGGGTATGTATGTGGGGTTATATGCATGTGGGTATGTATGTGGGGTTATATGCATGTGGGTATGTATGTGGGGTTATATGCATGTGGGTATGTATGTGGGGTAATCTGCATGTGGGTATGTGTGTGGGGGTATATGCATGTGGGTATGTATGTGGGGTGATATGCATGTGGGTATGTATGTGGGGTTATATGCATGTGGGTATGTGTGTGGGGGTATATGCATGTGGGCATGTGTGTGGGGTTAAATGCATGTGGGTATGTATGTGGGGTTATATGCTTGTGGGTATGTGTGTGGGGGTATATGCATGTGGGTATGTGTGTGGGGTTATATGCATGTGGGTATGTGTGTGGGGGTATATGCATGTGGGTATGTATGTGGGGTAATATGCATGTGGGTATGTGTGTGGGGGTATATGCATGTGGGTATGTATGTGGGGTTATATGCATGTGTGTATGTATGTGGGGTTATATGTATGTGGGTATGTATGTGGGGTTATATGCATGTGGGTATGTATGTGGGGTTATATGCATGCGGGTATGTGTGTGGGGTTATATGCATGTGGGTATGTATGTGGGGTTATATGCATGTGGGTATGTATGTGGGGTTATATGCATGTGGGTATGTATGTGGGGTTATATGCATGTGGGTATGTGTGTGGGGTTATATGCATGTGGGTATGTGTGTGGGGTTATATGCATGTGGGTATGTGTGTGGGGTTATATGCATGTGGGTATGTGTGTGGGGGTATATGCATGTGGGAATGTGTGTGGGGTTATATGCATGTGGGTATGTGTGTGGGGGTATATGCATGTGGGTATGTGTGTGGGGGTATATGCATGTGGGTATGTATGTGGGGTTATATGCATGTGGATATGTGTGTGGGGTTATATGCATGTGGGTATGTGTGTGGGGTTATATGCATGTGGGCATGTTTGTGGGGTTACATGCATGTGGGTATGTATGTGGGGTTATATGCATGTGGGTATGTGTGTGGGGTTCTATGCATGTGGGTATGTGTGTGGGGTTCTATGCATGTGGGTATGTGTGTGGGGTTATATGCATGTGGGTATGTGTGTGGGGTTAAATGCATGTGGGTATGTATGTGGGGTTATATGCTTGTGGGTATGTGTGTGGGGGTATATTCATGTGGGTATGTGTGTGGGGTTATATGCATGTGGGTATGTGTGTGGGGGTATATGCATGTGGGTATGTATGTGGGGTAATATGCATGTGGGTATGTGTGTGGGGGTATATGCATGTGGGTATGTATGTGGGGTTATATGCATGTGTGTATGTATGTGGGGTTATATGCATGTGGGTATGTATGTGGGGTTATATGCATGTGGGTATGTATGTGGGGTTATATGCATGCGGGTATGTGTGTGGGGTTATATGCATGTGGGTATGTATGTGGGGTTATATGCATGTGGGTATGTATGTGGGGTTATATGCATGTGGGTATGTATGTGGGGTTATATGCATGTGGGTATGTATGTGGGGTTACATGCATGTGGGTATGTATGTGGGGTTATATGCATGTGGGTATGTATGTGGGGTAATATGCATGTGGGTATGTGTGTGGGGGTATATGCATGTGGGTATGTTTGTGGGGTGATATGCATGTGGGTATGTATGTGGGGTTATATGCATGTGGGTATGTGTGTGGGGGTATATGCATGTGGGCATGTGTGTGGGGTTAAATGCATGTGGGTATGTATGTGGGGTTATATGCTTGTGGGTATGTGTGTGGGGGTATATGCATGTGGGTATGTGTGTGGGGTTATATGCATGTGGGTATGTGTGTGGGGGTATATGCATGTGGGTATGTATGTGGGGTAATATGCATGTGGGTATGTGTGTGGGGGTATATGCATGTGGGTATGTATGTGGGGTTATATGCATGTGTGTATGTATGTGGGGTTATATGCATGTGGGTATGTATGTGGGGTTATATGCATGTGGGTATGTATGTGGGGTTATATGCATGCGGGTATGTGTGTGGGGTTATATGCATGTGGGTATGTATGTGGGGTTATATGCATGTGGGTATGTATGTGGGGTTATATGCATGTGGGTATGTATGTGGGGTTATATGCATGTGGGTATGTATGTGGGGTTATATGCATGTGGGTATGTATGTGGGGTAATATGCATGTGGGTATGTGTGTGGGGGTATATGCATGTGGGTATGTATGTGGGGTTATATGCATGTGTGTATGTATGTGGGGTTATATGCATGTGGGTATGTATGTGGGGTTATATGCATGTGGGTATGTATGTGGGGTTATATGCATGTGGGTATGTATGTGGGGTTATATGCATGTGGGTATGTATGCGGGGTTATATGCATGTGGGTATGTATGTGGGGTTATATGCATGTGGGTATGTATGTGGGGTTATATGCATGTGGGTATGTGTGTGGGGTTATATGCATGTGGGTATGTGTGTGGGGTTATATGCATGTGGGTATGTATGTGGGGTTATATGCATGTGGGTATGTATGTGGGGTTATATGCATGTGGGTATGTATGTGGGGTTATATGCATGTGGGTATGTATGTGGGGTTATATGCATGTGGGTATGTATGTGGGGTTATATGCATGTGGGTATGTATGTGGGGTTATATGCATGTGGGTATGTATGTGGGGTAATATGCATGTGGGTATGTGTGTGGGGGTATATGCATGTGGGTATGTATGTGGGGTTATATGCATGTGTGTATGTATGTGGGGTTATATGCATGTGGGTATGTATGTGGGGTTATATGCATGTGGGTATGTATGTGGGGTTATATGCATGTGGGTATGTATGTGGGGTTATATGCATGTGGGTATGTATGCGGGGTTATATGCATGTGGGTATGTATGTGGGGTTATATGCATGTGGGTATGTATGTGGGGTTATATGCATGTGGGTATGTGTGTGGGGTTATATGCATGTGGGTATGTGTGTGGGGTTATATGCATGTGGGTATGTGTGTGGGGTTATATGCATGTGGGTATGTATGTGGGGTTATATGCATGTGGGTATGTATGTGGGGTTATATGCATGTGGGTATGTATGTGGGGTTATATGCATGTGGGTATGTATGCGGGGTTATATGCATGTGGGTATGTATGTGGGGTTATATGCATGTGGGTATGTATGTGGGGTTATATGCATGTGGGTATGTATGTGGGGGTATGTGCTGGGCGGTCGTTATGCTGCATGGGTATGTGCGTGGCATGCTCACAGGCATCATGCTCACAGGCGTCATGCTCACAGGCGTCATGCTCACAGGCGTCATGCTCACAGGCATCATGCTCACAGGCATCATGCTCACAGGCATCATGCGTTCAGCATGCCCCGACTATCGCCTGCTGCTGTGCTGTCTGACGTCTCATGTGTCTCCAGCCAACTCGTTTAAGACTCATGTGGTTGTCCCATGTTAACGAGTGCACCTGCAGGTGGTTAACTTGTGTCCGTATCCCTCAAAGCTCGCCTTTCTACATTATCTGAGACGCCCTTTCTAGGTGCATCAAAAATCGTATTTCCCATCCCTCAGAACCCACCCTTGAATGCAGGCCATCCACGCACACAGTTTCCATGCTTTGCTCATTCTTTCCCCCTTTGCCTCGTGCCTCCGACCCCCCATTCCCCCCCCTGACTTAACTTCACCCTTATCATCGATATGCGAATAAGTCAGCAGCATGCTCCCATACCGTTGCCTGCCATCCTCACACGCCCCCGTGTCTGCCACCCAACGCCCCTCTGCATGCCCACATCCCCCTCCCCCTTCATCCTCACAGTGGACATGCCAGCAGCTGTGATAGCATCCGCATATCACATCCCCACGCTGTTCCTCTCCTGCATGTCCCGTCTGTCCATTTCCTAACCCACCCCGCTCCACATGTGCACGGCAGCTTCATCCTCACAGTGGACATGCCAGCAGCAGTGCGCATCGACCTCTTTGATGCCATGGCTGACATCGAGTACGTTCCGTTGCTTCCATCTCATGTCTGCCGCTTGAACCTCACTTAGAGATTTCCTGCACCGTGTTGCCTTCGTTCCACCCTGCTGCCATCTGTCCTCCACCAAACCAATGTGCTCTTGGTGTTCTGCTCCATCACATTTATGTCAGTCAATCTTGCCCGTTCTATGGGTTCTGCATACCAGGTATCTCGCATGGTTCTCTTTGCTTCCTTAAGGCCGTTTTTATGATGCCTGAAAAGTTCTGAGACGTCTCAAAATGCATAACAGGTATCTCACATGGTTCTCTTTGCTCCCTTTAAGTCTGTACGCCAACCTTTGGTCCCCGTCCCTCCCTCCTGCCAATCAGGTGCCATCTGGCGTTCGCCAGGAGTGACAAGGTGCATCTGGGGGTGAATAGCAGACACTTTCTATCTCCTGTTCTCCATGTGCTGTGCTCAATCTCTCTGTCCCTTCCTCCCGCCAATCAGGTACCATCTGGCGTTCGCTACAAGTGACAAGGTGGCGCTGGGGTCAGTAGCAAGCATTCCCTCATTGCATCCCATCCCTTGCTTGTGTGCTGTGCTCCCTCCCTTCCCCCATGCAACCAGGTACCGACTCACCTTTGCCACGAGTGAGAAGGTGCAGCTGGGGGCGCTGGTGGGGGCTTTCACGCATGCGCGCACCAAGCTTGTGGAGGGCGCCAAATAACCTGGGCGGCCCGTTGACTTTCTTTGACTTCCTTTGACCTGGGCCGTTGCAAGGCATGCATGCACATGCAGCTTGAGCCGCTTCTGGGGTTGATCAAGCATGCCTGCACCAAGCTCTGGAGGGTGCAAAATATGCCATCTGGGCCAGCAGACTACAAACACCAGAGCGAGTATGCATGTCACGATAATAAATTGGTTGACTGCCAAGAATGGTCACCAATGAAGCTGCTGCATCCACAATCAGATTTCAGAGTTCAAAAGAAAAAAAAAACACACACACACACACACAAAGGACGACTGTGGTGTTCGTGCATCTTGACGCGGTGTTGGCAGATTATTCGTACACACTCTTGTCGACCGGCAGATGTTCGAAGTATTTCCATGTGTAGTCAATATCTATCCCACATCAGCCGATATCCACCAATGGAGTCCGTCAAATGACAGATGGGCTTTGGAAGGATGATCCTGGGATTTTCAAACAACATTACATTACGTGGTTAAAGTTAAAGTTAAAGTTATATTTCTGGTCGTAACCAGTTTAAGGGGTATCCATTCCTAGATGAGCACATGCTAACCCCTTCTTGGGGTTGGCAGAACACGCCTGCACGGGGGTGGGTTCGATCCCGGGACCTTATCTATCGAAAGTTCGTCTTTCTACTGACTAGGCCACTTCTGGATAATATTGCATTACGTGGTGGATATGAAAGGTGGTGGGGCTGCAGCAAAGGGCATCACATACCGTAATACATCAGAGCCTCGACCCAAAATTTGTCCAATTATATACACACGGGTGACGTCATCACATGCCGCCCCACCCGCGCTGGCACAAAGGGAATTGAGGCAAAACGAAAAACCCGCGGAATCCCTCCGGGCCCCCAGAAATTCCCGGCTGACCAGGCCAAAAAACCCTCCGAAACCCGCGGGTTCAATGTCGTATTCTTATGATAATATATATGTCAGCGTAACAGTAGAAATTGAAGGAGCTCGACGGGAGACAACTCGATATACCATTGTAGAATTAAAAAGAAAGTGTTCCGTAACTCAAAATATCAGCCAAGTTACTCAAATGTGATGTTCAACAAGAGGTGCTCCCGGGATGTTCGACAGTACTTAGGGATTCCGCTAAACGTTTCGACAAAGCACATTGAAAAACTTTGCCCCTACACTTTCACATTTTTGTCGAAACAGTACTGCATTACTTTCTGTCGAACAGGGAAACTCATTCTATAAGGTTCCGATTTCACAGTCGGGAAAACAAAATTTCCGAGACGTTGTTCGATGAAATTGATTATCGACAGCAGAAGCCGTTTCTAGATTTTGGCAAGTCAGCATCTGCATTCGACGCGGAAATTGTCGAGATGCGCATTATCCCTATTCGTCAAAACGAAAGATTTCGACAGACAGAGCAAAGCGGTCGAGAAGTTTATTTCAATCGACCAAGCATATCTATCGCCGCCAGCACCCTGTTTCACTTCTCTTTGTAGCATCGAGACTCACAATCACATAACTAATCAACAATGCTCGAGTTTTACTATACGTTAATACATATCGTGAACGTGGACAATCGACACAAGCAATGTTATTGTTGCAGTAGAGTTTGGCAGCTGCATTTTATTACCCCGTCGAACAGACCATATTTGTCTATGTAATAAATACAGAAAAAACATCATATTCAACAAACTATAGCTTTCCAAATTGTATGATTTTTACACTACCTGAACAGGTTGGTAATTCACCTATGGCAGTGATTGGTTTTCAAACTCTCTTCGAGAACACTTCGTTTTATGTCGACGACGGGACGGTCGACGACAAAAATTCTATCGCAGGCTCTGCTCGACGGGATCCAGTCGACGACGCCGACGTGCATTGCTAATGCACATTAGTGGTCGACGAAACCCTTCGATGGGCACTGCTCGGCGTGCTGTGCTCGACGAGCTGGTCTCGGCGAATGTTGTTCGACCAAGCAGCGCCGAGCTGGTCGGTGAAAGTTACGCCTGACCCCTCGTCTTCGTACTCGGTTGAGTCGGTCCCTGCAGCGTGCTAGAAAGTCTGGCCCCGGTGGTACAAGAATGCATTCTCATTAAGTTCATATTCACTTGCTCTACGGCGCACGGGTAGCGAAACCGTCGACAGGTGTTCTACCTGGCACCTGCGCACGAATAAGATTAAAATTGATGATATACGTATTAATGAGAATTGTAGGGAATGCCCCCTTTTTTTGTGCCTCCTATTCCTTATCAAGTTTGCCCATTGCAGTTTATGTATTTATTTGTTTAGGTATACGCTTTTATTTCAGTGTCAGCTGTGCTCTGTATCGAACTGGTCTGTGGCGCGTTCTGCCACGCTTTTCTCTGCACCACTTTCCGTCGGGTCGAGACGGAATCCGTCGACGGAGGCGGATTTACTCGACGGACAGGGGGGTTGGTGCAGGCGGGGTTGGTGCAGACCGGGGGGAGCACGTGGGGTCAACGCCAGCTCGAGCGAGGACCACCTCGCGTCACTCCGAGCTGGCGTGGCTCGTTTCGGGCGGGCGGGTTGGCTGGCTCCCGCCCCTCGCGTGCCCCGCCACGCGACAGAGGGAAAACGAAAATCCCTCCGAGGAAAACCCGCAGGGGCGAAAGGGGGTCCTCGGAGGGATTCGGCCGATGTCTTCCCATACAGAGTGATACATGTGAGAAAACAGAAATCGGTTGTACAGAAATCGGTTCATTGACGGGCACAATGAAGCCACATTGCCTCGGGCGAAGCATCATCTTCGGGTACATATGGTGCAATCTGCTTCTGGTGTGACCCATTCCCCTCAAGACCCAATCCCACCATTCCAAATGCCAAACAAAACGTTCCAGAACGAACTGCAAAATACAGCACCCTTTAGAGTTTTCTCAGTGCCAAGCCGGCGCAAAGCAGGCTGATGAGTGGTGAAAGCTTATTCCCGGCGCAGATCCCCATTTACTGTACCAGGCTTGGGCGGAAAGGTGCACCAAGACTGTGCGCAACCCCGAACCAAGCAAGCAGGGTTACCTGAGTAAGGCGCGGCAGGCGGGGAGTTCCACCCCACACCTGAGGTACGCCCCACCGTGTCCTGCGGGAAGCTTTGTTATCTGCGCGACAACAGGCGACACACTGAACTGAAAGAATGCAGCACGCAAGGCGACGCCATCACCTGCATCGGGGCGCCACTGGATCGAACACCACATGCTCAAATCCCGCCATTCCGATTGCGGCCGGATCACCGCCAAACATTTCGCCAATGCAGACGCCGGAAGTCAAGCACACCTGAGCCCGTTCAATCGCGACTCGCGGAATGGTTTTCACGAGAGCCTGTCACCGCCTGAAATGGCACCTGAATGTCGGCAGGCTTGCGCACGCCGGAATAATCCGACGATGCGGGAATGAATGCGACGGATCGTAGCGTGGCGGAAACGACTAGGATGGAGCACCTGAATGCGCGGACGGGGATGTGGAATCGAGGGAGAGGCTTCACAACTTGTGAAGTCCGACGATCTCTCCTTCCATCCCGCTATAAGACAGACTCTCGCGCTCCCATCGTTACCTTTTGCTGCTATTATCTCCAACATCCCTAGTAGTACTAGTGCGGCCGCCGGTGCGCAGTCCCAACAGCTAGCTACCCGCCTTTTGCTCCTTTTAGCTCCATCACTAGGGGTGCGACTGCCTTCCATCCTCCACCCAATGGCGGTATTCCAGAGAGTTGGACTTGCGTCTCCAGCCATGGCCATCGCGGAAAAGGTTTTGGGCCCGAGTATCCGAAAACGGGGTACTCTTCCGAAATGTTGCGGGAATGTATACCGAGGTTTGCAAAAAACACCCAGGGCAATCCGCACCCCTAATCCCACACAAGGGACTCGCCACTGCCGAGTCGCGCCTCCTTGGCGGGACAACGAATGTCCCGCTAATTCCCTCGAACAACGCAGCGCACATTGCAGGCATGCAGCGGATGCGCGGCCCGGACAACATGTGGTCCAATATACGCGACATTGCATGTCCAACTGCACACCAGTATTGGGCGCCCTGCAGAACATCTGCCCACAACACTTACGAAGTGCGTACACCACTTCAACACACACTACACGAATTGTGCATCCAAAACTTCATCAACACGAACTCAGGTAAGCAAGTACACAAAATAACAATCCGTCAAATAACACATAGCCCTACCACTGGTGTCTTCCCTCTCAGCATCATCCAAAGCCGCCTACTCTAACAACACATAAAACCACCCTACTCCACTCCCAACTACACACCGCCAACAGCACTACCATCTCAGAGGATTCCGCCAGGCATACCATCGTCGCACACCACACTATCTTCCTTCCCCTCGGCCAACCCACTAGGCTGGCCGCCTGCCGCACTTCCGTCACGAGCACGCTTCGTTGGCGTCGTTCGAAGGCGGCTTATCACCTCCTCGTTATGCGCGCCCATGGCCTCGGGCACCTGGCACACTGGTATGCCCAATTTGTCCGCCTCCTGACTGTACTCGCCCGCCACCATCCGCACGACCCTTCGCCGGCTGCGAACGTCCCGATACAGTGGCCCTTCAGGGATACAAAAATACGCCGGTATCTCGTCTTCATCCTCCTCGTCCTCCTCATCCTCCGCCTTAATCACGCCCCACTTCATGAGCAGGTCCTCGTCGCAGCCCACAAAATCCCACGAAGTCATATACATACCAGGGGCCCTCTTAAAATTCTCAATAGCCATCTGCAGCATTGTCAGCTCGCTGACAATGGGCTCGAACATCAAAGCCGCGCCGGCGCCATCCAGGCGCTTCATCAGCGACACCCACGCCGTCGGCACACAACCCGCGCGCCACCAGCTCCTCTGAATAGCCGTCGACGACGTCAATTTGCACGCCAGTTCCAGCCTCTTCAGCACGTCGGGAAGTGACGGTCGCGGTACCTCCCCCTTCTTCTTCCACTCGTTGCTGTCCATGGCGTCCTTCATGAACCAGTATCGGTGTATTGCCTTGACCGTGTCCACCACCCCGGTCGTCGACGGGATGCTGCACCGGGGGGGGCCGCCATAAAGCTGCACCACCTTGACACTCAGCAGATTCTGCGCCGCAAACCCGGCAACTGTTTCCGACTCGAACACACAACCAGTAAGCTCGTGTTTCGGGTCGTACACCAGAACAATTGCGCGCTCGTTCTTTGCGAATAGATCCCCGTCAAACTTCACCATGTGCTCCGTGAATAGCTGTTGCGACACGACGAAATCAACACAATTTACGTAATCAGCACCAGCCTAATAACAAAGTGCATTTGTGATTACATTCCAGCAAACCGCGCCGATGCTCACCTCAGAGGACATGCGTCCGTTCTTTGCGTAGCGCACCACGACATTATGCTCCCGACGCCGCCCATTGTGTACGGCCCTGCCATCATCCCGCCTCAACACCACAAGCGGATGACGCCACTTGGAACCAGAAGCGTTGACCAGCAAACCCACCGTCATATGCCACTCGCGCGCGATACCGAACTCCGCGTCCATAACAGACGAAACCGGGAGCCTCGTAGGTATGAACGGGAACTCGGAGAACAAGTACACATCGTCAGGATGGGCTTTGAGAGCCTCCAGGAGAGCCACTACCGCCGCCATGCTGTAGTATCATGTCTGGCTAGCACAAAAAACGCAGACTTGATATCCGCTCTGGTGCTCCTCCAAAACCAGGTGACGAGTACTTAGACTGTATAGCCGAGGTTGAAACGATGAAGGTACGTACCAAGCCTCCTCGCCTTATCCCGAACTACCAGAGGTACGGATCGACATTGGCTCCGTAAAACACACCACCTGTCACATCAACCGCTAGCCGCACACGGTGCGCACCACGGATTTCATTGAACGGTGACCACATACTGTACACATCACCGCCACAAGGTGGCATTATTTCAGTGGATCCCCGCACGCACCAATGGGGTTCGCCGATCCGCTCCGGTATGCACAACCGCGCTTAGCACCAATGCATACCGTTGTACAGCGACCGCACAGCGAAGTCCAAAAAATAAAGTACACGCGAACAAAAACGCGTACACATAGAGGTACTCTCCCGACTAACACCCCGTTAATACAACACTGCATGTCTGCATACTGAATCAAAACTCCGCAGTGCGTGCGACACACAACATTCAAACTGCGCATACCAGAACTCTTGCCATAGGGTTACAGAAACACACACCAACCTACACAATTAACCAACAGTCCACGACCACCAATATTGTTTAACAAGGACTCTACTCAGCATGGTTTGTGTGTTTAGGGTGGCAGATCACCTTCCCGGCGCTGATACTCAAGCCAGCACCACGCCACACAGCATATTAGCCACGGTTGTAGAATTACCCCACACATGAACCCCGCTCTGACAACGCCACCATCAGAACATGTGTGTCATCCCACAGTCACTGTTCCGCCGACCAGATCACTCGATCAGCAGAAACTTGTTCACCAGGAGCACCTTGGGGTTGCTGAAGCTCCGACAAGTGTGCACCACCCTCAGAATCGTGGCCACCTCCACCACAGCGAACCTCGTCTCCTTCCGGTGGGGTGTTAGCTGGATGCATGTGGTCAGGGGGCAGAGCCCAGCCTGCTCAAAGTACCGCACGTACATGTAGCCCTTCGGCTCCCCCTCATCCCCAGCCGCCTTGAAGATGCACAACACCTTGGCAAACCACTCCCCCCCCTTAGGCGACAATAGTGCCACATCAGAAAACCACTTCTCCCCCGGGCTCGCTTTCACAAACGTGCCCTTGGCCACCAAAGCCCCCCCACGCGTACGCGGTATCGCCACGGCGGTGTGTGCCTGTGGAACACGGATGCGGGATGCGCATGATCAGTCACCTCACGTCTCAATGTCGCAATCTCACCAGCAAACCCCGCAATAACTTCCATACCTGGACGCTCTCCGCCTTCACCCCTGCCGACCGCATGCATCCCACTAGATCCTTCATGTCGTCACCGTGCGACACGTTGTACATCGCCAAGACGGCATCATCCTCCGCCCCAGGCACCATGAGCCTCCCCTTCCTCGTGAGGATCGGCTTCTTGGTCCGCACAGCCTGCACATCGGTGAATGCAACGTTCATTACCACCAGGCCAGATGTGGCGGCATTGTGTGTGGCCTCCAAGGGAACCAATCTCACAGACCGAAATGCACCCCTATCTCTCTGAGAGCAGTAGTGTACTGCCACCCGCCGCCTGCATCAGCCGCCACCTCGCGGCAAATCTCACGTTGCACCTCCTCCTCGACTATCCTCCGGGGGATGTCTTTCCAGTTGTCGCCTCGCACCGGCACCTTGACCGTGCCCTTGTGTGTATGCTCCCACAGCTCCGTGTTGTAGTGGTGGGGCATGCCCCTGAGAATCACATTCTCCAGCAGGTGCTTGATCATGTGCACCTTAGGGAACCGCCATCCCGACTTCTGATCGGGGTATGCTTGTGGGAGAAGGTCGACCAGCCTGCCCAATCCATCGCACCAAGAGGTACAGAGGTGTAAATCTGAAGTCCGTATGTCCTTCTAGTGGCGCAGGAGAACAGACATATGCAAAGGAGGCAAGCGGTGCTCACTTGTATGCGAGTTCCCTTGCGTGTGCGAGCGACGCCCTCGTGTGACCATCCACGCCAAGAAAGGCCTTGTAGAACGTAGCGTATAACCGGAAAGCACGCACCCTCATAGCCCTCAGCTCTGCGTCCGGCCCCTTCCCAAGCGCCCCCTTGTCCGCCACCAGAATGGGCATGACTTGCATCATGGCGCGGTGCTCAAACGCCGCGTAGTTGGCTCCACTGGCCAGATAAGAGGTTCCTCCCGGCAGCCGGAGCACTGTGCTCGGAGTCTCTGTCTTTGTGGTCTTCTTTCTCCTGCACGGAAGGTATGGGTAGCACTGCAGACAGGAGGTATGAGGACATGTCACACACCAAAGCCATCTTCAGAAAGTCATATCAAACCCATCGCATGCACGCACCCCTCCACCACGCGCCGCTCGGGCTTGCTGAGAGTGTCGATGTGGCACTCGATCATGTGCAGAGCAACACCGGAGTCCAGCACATGTATAGTGTCAGCCACGCTTGCCCCGTATGGGTTTCCCCACTCGGTGTCCGAGAAGTTCCACCTGCTGAGCACACACTGCATGTGAAGACACTCGTGTAACAAAGTCAGTAACGGCCGTAATATTTTGCCTGCCACATGCACATGCGTTGCTGTGCGGTATATCGTGCAAATCACCTCAATCGGGTGTGTTGACCATTCCGACTGCACTTTCTCAGCCTCCTTCACGGTCTTGCAAGCTAGAATCTGCTGCACCGCGTGCTCCTGGGAAGCAGGGGTCCTGATGGTAGATTGGAGCTTGAGGTTTGCCAGATCAGCCTCCTCCACGTAGCATGTGGTGCAGGGTCTCTTGGTCCCGGTCTGCATGGTGGCAGTCGCACGACATGCTTCGATGAAGTCCGCTGGGTAAGCGTAGTAGCAAGGGACCGCCTTCACAAGTTCCCCGTTTGCGTCCGGCACGTAGAAGAAACGAATGGGACAGCTGGTTCAACAGGCAGTTCCACGCAGAGTTGTAAGATCATCAGCAAGACGCCCGTCTAATCTGGGACGGCACGGTGCGCAGACACACAACGACTATCACTGCCCAGTAGTAAACAAACGCACTCGTCTCGGTCGTCGGTGCATCGTATATCCAAGAACACATAATGGACTCACTTTGCCGACTCCCGCATGAGCGGTGCCAATATGATGCGTATGGCCTCTTGGAAGACCCGGGCCTTTTCTGTAGAGGTAGCCCACCCGGGAGGAAAAGGCAGCACGGCCGCCAACACGTGACCAGGCTCCGTCCATCGCAGGTGCTCAGGAATGTTGAACAGTGTTATGAGTACTGGCCACGCTTGCCGCCTGCCGTTCCTTGTTGCGTTCGTGCCATCGCTATACACAATGACACCCAACACCCATGCTTTCTCGTCTTGTATCGCTTTCTGCGCTCAAACAAGGACGGCCAGGTATTGGCCTCAGCATTACTCATCGATATTGGGACGCCAAGCCCCACAACGTCAGCCCACAACACATCTTACCTCTGCTTCCTGCATCCACTTCCCAGTCTCGGGGTCGCTGAAGCGCCGTTTGCCTGTGGTAGGGTCCAGCTCCGTCCTCGCTTTGGTAACGAAGCCTGGTACAGCGACGAAAGTTCGCACCAACGTCTTCACCAACTGCATGGCATTGCGTTCGACGTTACGGGTTGCGGCGTCATGTTTAGGGTGCAACGAATGTGGCCGTTATATATTTGGAAGCTCGTCCCTAACCTTACCTGCTCCGTGTCGCGATAATGTAAGAGCAACTTCTGGACCTCTCTTTTGGGCCCGCGGACAATAATCTCCTCCACAAGCCACGGAACCAGGTCCGTGGGCGCTCTCGCGTTAGCCCATCGTCGCACATCCAGAGCATTACGCCAGCGGCGGAGAGCGCGGAGATTGAAGCGAGGGTTGCGGAAGATGTGCAGCAGGCGGTTTACTTCGCGCCGCGAAAGGTCGGCATCGCGGATGAACAGGTAAATAGCAGTGAGCGTGTCAAAGACATTGCCGTCCTCGCTTTGATCACTACATGTGGACTGCGTCTCATCGTCTACCGTCCCTTCATCACCTGCTGTCGCTTCCGCCACCTCGTTAGCGGCCGCCACTGCATCGTTAGCTAGCGAGTTCGGGCTAGACGTCTCGCCACGGCGCCCTGCGGTACGCGCGGTAATTGCCGCGTAGGCCTCCAGATAGGCCTGAGCTAAGCGGGCGTCACGCTTGCCGAGGATGTTGCGTCTGCACTCTGCGCTCTTTGCAAGGTGCGACTGAAGCGCACAGTCATCCCGAAGGACACGCGGACAACCCCTGCAGCGGCAGCCCGCCATATCCGTAATACGGAGCCCTAAAAAGTCCGTGCACTAACGCATGCCGCAGTGGACACTGGGGTGGGTATCCACCCCAGTCACAGTCACTGGCTCAACCTCACCCTGGTGTCGTGATCATGATGTTGCTATCAAGGAGAATACGTATGACTGTGTACCGAGTGCCACTTTTGACAATACAGGAGAGCTTCATGTCGGATCTAGGCTGGCTACGTCATGCACTGCCTGGCACCATCGTGTGTGTCCCCACAGCTGCCTTGAGGTTCGCTGTGTTGTAATTGCACATACTATAGTACTCTGCGAAACAATATGCTGTACACATGTGGGTGATGTTGGACAGTGTGTGTGGATCGACATTACAGTGCGTCACTCTATGTGGTACGCATTGAAACATGAGTGTTTAGATTACAGTAGGTACAACATGGCGCACAGATGGTCCCAGTACACTCGTGCACCAGTTTAACGCAAACGGATTTCGCCAGAGATGACGTTTACACGTTGGATCCCTAAAAAGCACATCTCGGCCTCTCGAGATTTTTCTTGCCAGCAAGACACGGCCGACGTTGACACATGTCACGTCCTGGCGAATTCCCGCCCAGCTGCATGCAGATCTAGTAGCTTCGCCCATCCTACTCGGGCCCGAAATTCCCAGGCGACATGACGTTCCATTTCGCATAGAAAGCCAAGTATGGGTACCTGTCTTATGTGTGCTCTGTGTTAGTTCTTGTCACACTCCATCCAATGGTGTCCAGACTTATGTAACGCCCTCCAATGACGCAGCATGGTCGTGGAGGTATGGCGCGAGACAGGGTAGGTGCTAAAAAACCACGTAGCGGTACGGACAATGGAGACGTCACAGAGGTGCCGGCCTCTGCGCGCACACCGCACGGTTCCGCCGTCACAAGGGCGACTCGAAGTACTTCCCGCACGCAGCAAGGATCCGTGGATCGAGAATCAAAAAGCGCCGCTAAGAAGCTCGACCTGCCCAAGTACAAGACGAAAGTTAAAGTGAATACGGTGGACCCCGAACCAGATGACGTCGTTGCCCGCGTCGTCAGAAAGTGTAAGGATGTCTCCTTCACATCCATGTCTTTGAACAACCGCGCCGGACAGTCGTGTGTCGTCACCGCCAGAGATCTTGTGACCATCGCGGATGGTCAGTGCCTCACCGATCCGATAATCGACTTTCACAACATGTGAGTCTGAACAGCGCTGGTGAAGCTCGTCGCCGTTAAATACGTCAACTCACCTGGGCGTCCGGACCCCCTCTGTGCAGATTGTTGAGCATCGAACATCCACGGACCCCTAATGGCAAGACCTGGGCGGTTATGGACAGCATGGCGTATCAGTACGTCACAGGTTACAACAAGCCGTTCCAGCACGGGAAGGGGGATGGTCTGCTCGCCGTCGACTATCTGGCCATACCGGTTTTCAAGGGGTGAGCTGCGTGGTGTATAGGCTGCCACGTCTAAATTGCTGTGTCGTCTATGTCCATAACCCGACGTAGTGTCCTCCCTGTTCCACAACTCCATCGACAGAAACCACTACTCGCTCATCATCGTGTGCGATCCGGCGAGGTTGTGGTGCAAGGACGACGAGGGCGATGGGGACAAGCTGCAGATGGTCTTGTTCGACAGCGAGGGCGCACATGCCGGGGATCCAACCGTCTTTGATGGCGCGAAGCTGTGAGTATGGTTGGCATTGGAAACTGAATCATGAATGCTTGTGCGCCTGCGGCTGAACAATCCCCTTCTTGTACTGGTGCGCATGCTCAGGCTGCTGGATATCACGACCAAGCAGTTGCACCCGGACTGCGACCACAAGCGGCTTGTTTCCACGCTATCGAGCGCGGACTGTGTGGTGATGCAGGTATGAGCCGTGTGGTCAGGCCCTTATAAGGTTGGGATGGAATTTCCATACGCGATAGCCCATGCACTGACACGCCTGCCCATTCTTCCATGCAGGCGCACCAGCTCATCAGGCAGGACAACCTGGTTGACTGTGGCGTCTTCTTGTGCCACTACTTGCGCGGACTCGTAGAGTCAGACTTCTCAACGGTGCTGAAGTATCTGTATTTGGACGGCGTGAGCGGTGGCCAGTACCGCCGGCGCATGCGTGCGGATCTGTGCGCGCATGCATCCTGTGAGCTCGTACCTGCGCTGACCACACGGGGGAAGATCGTTCCACCGCAGTATGCACCTCGGACATCGGAAATCGGCACTGTGAGGGCGTCGGACGAGGTGGACATGAGGAGCCGTCTCGCTCAGTACCAGGTCGAGGTGTACGGACTGCGGAGGGACCATGTCATCTGGGGCGCGGAAGTGACCGCGCTCGGGAACGCCATGGGGTACAGCAGATATCAGATGCTCGCAGCTGCCGCGTACGTGGTGAAGACAGACGGAGGGGCTTATCGGAGCATTGAACCGGCAGCATCACCCTCTACGCCGCCTCACCTGCCTTGTGAGCGCACCGGTGGACCCCTCCCCGCCGAACCCTGTGGCGCGCAATCGTGTGCGACGGGAGGTTTCGTGGCACACACGGACCTGGACGTAATCCATCAGCACCCCCGGCCCCTTCCTCCCTTATCGCGTGTGTCGCCGGCCCATGACAGTCCTGGTGGGCCGAAGACCCCTACCAACGGGAACGGTGAAGTCGCCCCGGGTGTACGTGCACCGACAGAGGTCCTGCTAGACACGCCTGCAGCGAAAAGGGGGGAGAAGCGACCGCGTGTCGAGGGCGGAAGCTTGGCAGCGGAAGGTACAACAGCCGCTGGTGGTGGGGGGGGAAGTGGTGGGTCCTCACAGTACACCGGGGTGCGGCGAGAAAAGAAGAGGGGGACATGGAGCGCGAAGATATTGGTGAGGGAGCCTGGTCAGGCCAGGCGGACGCAGATGCGGTTGGGGTCATACACACAGGAGCCAGAGGCAGCTTACGCTTACGCCGCAGCTGCTCATGTGTTAAGGCCTGGCGTCGTCATTCCGCGCACGATCCAGTTGACACCAACGGAACAGAGCCTTCTGGCAGGATGCTCCAAAAAGGTCATCAAGCTCCTTGTCAAGAGTCGGATGTGGTTCCGCTGGAGAGAGTGGGAGCAGGCTGTGCTGGACTGCCATGGAAACATGGATAATCCTGAGGCCGAGACCCCAACCGGGTCTGCAGCGGGAGGGGGTGGGGACGAGGTGGAGGAGGAGGGGGGGCAGGACGCTGATGTCGGCATGGACGATGGGCAGGCGGATACTGAACCTGTCAATCATACTGCTGCTGTTGGAGTTTATGGTAATGGGAGTGATGCACAGAATGGAGTTCCAGGGGATGATGGAGTACCAGGGGAGGACGATTTGGTAGGGACTCAATTTGGAGAGTTTGACCCGGCTAGCATTGGCCTGTGATGGATGAGGTTGGGAGTGTGTGGTTAGCTGCATGAACTAGAATGTATCATGCGTTGGGTTCGATTGTACCATATTGTTTCCATGAAGGGATTTCCCGACGCCAAGCTCGCTTGTATGATTTTGTTCATGTTGTGTTGCTGTTTTACTAAGCGGTTCCCTAATAGCGAGATGGAATGCACTTAGCGGATACAATGTTGACACCGCACTGGTGTTCGTGATCGGCTCAGTGTATCCTACATGACCACTCGTCTTTACCACTCCGGATTCGGATAGGTGGAGTTGGCACAATCTTAGTGGCGCGTAATCTGGTTATGCTGACGGGGCCAACAAGCACACTTCGGGCTACTCTAAGCGAACACCAAGCATTGGTGTATACCTTTTGGTTTGACTGCATTTTGGACCAGACGGCGGGAGGCGTTCACGGGAGTTCGAACATGGAGACCTCGGACGCGTCGATCGAGCCCCAGCCTGCTTCCAGGTCACAGCGGGTGTCCAAACCTCCGTCGTACCTGCGTAACGCATACCAGCTGACTCAGAAGCGACAGCGCGGGAGGAAAGCGGAGCGGGCGGTTGCAGTGCCAGCCAAGCGCGCAAGGGTTTCCCAGGCGAAGGGGGTTCCTCTTAATGGTAATAGTTGTTCAAGCACGACTGCGAGCATGGCGTATGATTACCATTCGTCTTTTCCCGTCTTAACGTGACCTTGTTCGTTGTGTTTGTGTGCAGCTACAGCATCCGCTGAGCCGGAGACTTCAGTGGCGGAGGCACCTCAGGCAGAGGTGGAGATAAGCATCGGTGCGGGCGATGAGGACATCGAGAGTGAGAGCGAGGCACGCCCGGCGCCGTCCCGGTCGAAGAACTTGGCCTCTGTGATGGCAGAGTCTCAGGCGACTGCCACCACCAGGCCCCGACCTCCGCCCGTGCGCGTGCCGGACAACCCTTTTGTGGCCATGCCTGTAGCTGGGTCGTCTCGTGACCCGTCAGCGCCCGGGGAGGAGACACACATTCTGGTTAGTCGAGCGGAGTTCGAGGCCTTGAAGAAGGCGCAAGAAGCGAGCGCGCGCAACGTGGCCCGTCTTGAAGATGAGCTGCGGTCTGCTAAGGCTGTGCAGGCGCGTGCACCCCCTCGCAGGCCGGACGAGCATGTCTCGGGGAGCGGTGGAGCTTCTGGTCGGAAGCGGAAGCGTCGGGAAGAACTCGTCGATGAGGAGACATCCGACGAGGAGAGCGAGGATGAGCCACCCGCGAAGAGGGGGCATTTGAGGGTGTCCAAGTTACCGGTCCTGCAGCGGGCGCTCAATTTTCTGCCTGCAAACAAGGCGTGGAAGGTGGGTTGTGACGAACATCGGTGCCTCCACCATGTGTTAGCTGGCTTTGCACCCCTTCCTACGTGCTTTTCGGGGTATTGACGACGGATGTGTGTGCTTGGTGGTTTTGAACTGGTGGCAGCGCGCGTGCGACCTGGTGAAAGATTACCTCTTCTTCGAGAAGGAGAACGACCGGATTACGTTCTATCCGAGCAGCGACGACAAGACGGTGGGAGTGTGTGCAGTGATCGAGCGCCTGCCTTTCAACTTCGCGACACTGGCTCGAGCCGCGGACAAGGCAAGACGGCAGGATTTGAACAAGGCCCTTAGCGAGTGGAAGTCAGGCGCAGCAGGAAGGACGCGGGACATCTCGTGTCCACGGATGGGGCTTTTCCGCGACGAGCGAGATACGCGCAGCCCATGGGCCACGAAGAAGGACCGTACTCTGGAGGAGATCCGATCGCATTATGGGCTGCTGCTGGGCGTTGACGGTAAGGTGGAGGTCCATGGATGGAGAGGGAATGTATGCTGGATGTGTCGATCGTGGACTTACGTGAGCGTGTATTTGTGTGCAGATCCCCTGGCATTGTCCAAGTTTGGGAACGATCGGGAGGGGATGCCGTTCGCCTCTGGCGCATTCGTGGCATGCGCGGTAGCGGCATTCAAGCCGAAGAAGGTGGCCGGGCCACTGACGGTGAAGCTTTACCACCTGGCGTGGCTGGAGCATGTGGTACATGCTTTGTGTTTGTTTGTGCTGTGTGGTCACCCGTCCTCCCGGCGGCTAAGGGGTTGTTTGCATGTCGCAGGTGACCGACACGCTGGTGAACTGGGAGGCGAGGAAGGCGCGACTGTCGAACTCTGCTTGTGGAAACGCGCAGGTGGTCGATGGGCTCGTGATCCTTGCGCGTGAAGCAGTGTCGAACGCGATCAGAATCTTCAAGCCTAAGTACGACATGTCCTCGTGCTCGTGGACCTGGGGGCGCCATGGCCTTCGGCTGTCCTCGTGCGGGCTGGAGGACTTAATTCCAGCCGCTACCGCACCCCGTGATGGGGCGGAGGTTCAGGCGGAAGAGATCTCTGGGTCGCTTGGAGGGCCGTAAATGGTGGGGGCTGAAAGCATGTTTGCCCAGCTAGGGTTTGTCGTCGATTTGTTGCTGTAGTTAGGCTGTCTGTGTTTGTTGTGCTTCGTTTGTATGTGTGTTTCTTTTGTGTCGCCTTGCTGTGTGACAATTACGGATGGGTTGTGCGTTGTTGGACACGGTGCAATCTCACTCAAACACGTAGGAAATGTAGTCACACCACGATTTTCGCGGACGCCGTATCCGCTATCTTAATCACAGAAGTGCGGTGAGTGATGGGTTAGGATACGTGCCTCCGTTTTCATGAGCTCCGCACATTACTGGGGGCGCGCGTCGGGCAGCGACGTACGTAGACCATTCGTGGCACGCACACAGAATCCGCGCTATTGTGGGATGTGGTGGACGCTGTTCGCACATCTGACGTGTCATAGGTATGCAGTGGTTTACCGCATCTCACGCGTCGATGGCGAGGACATCGCACCAATAGGGGGAAGTAGCAGAGCATGTGACCACGTGTCCAAATCCACGCCGTGCGAATGGTGGGCGGCCTATGGAGACACGTGCCGCGTATGCAGCGGGCGGGTGCTTGATGTACTCTATCGTCAGGGATTGGTGCACGACCTGGTAACACCGGCATAGGTGGCGAGTATGCGTTGGGACGTCAGATTTAACGAAGGTTTGCCGTACGACGGGCGAGGCGGGCCCGCGCGACGTTTTAGTGGGTGACGAAGTGTGTAGTTACATCGTGCGCGGCCACTCACGGTCCCACAGGTGTACGGGCGAGATGCGGGGTGTTCTCGGTGTGGATTTGCGCCGCGTGGCATGGTGGGCGCAAACCGGACGCAGACAGATGTCGCGAGAGTGTTGGGTGGGTATGCGAGCAGTACGCACAGGTGTGGGATAACGAGAGGTCGTATGGTGCGTAGGTGGCGGCGCGGAAGTGGGTGGGGAGGTTGGTCCTCTGCATGCAGATTGGTGGGCGAAATGCACGCGCTGGTTGGTAAGTGGGCGACGAGAGTGGGTGTATTCACGCGTTACACCAACGGGGTGCTCACATGTGTACGGCGGGGATCGATGCGTGAAGCCGCATCGATGCAGGCCGCGTGGCAAGGGGGGTACGTACGGTATGCGGCACAAGTACCTTGGTGTACGATGTCATGTGACACGTGTGACGGGCAACTCTATCGCAGCTTTCTGGCAAGTTCGCGGTTGCGGGGAGGTGCCTGAAATGTGACGCAAATGTGGCGAAGGGGTCACTTTTTCGCAACGTGCACACTTGCGGGAATTCCGATGGTTTTGACCTTGACTGGAAAACATCGGGGCGGGGTATCCAGAAAGTCACTTTTCTGCAGTTTTCCGGGCACATTTCTGCAATACCTTTTCCGCGATGTGGCCCAGACGACATCACACTCTCGCTCGTCAGCGCTCAACGTGACGCTACTCGCCGTCGTCATCGTCGCTGGTGAGTCCGCCGCTCCTACTTTCGCCTCCTCTGCTTTGTCGCCTCCGCGCCCGCCTCATGCTCGATCCGCGGCGCGCAGGTATTCGCGCGCCTAGCTTGAAGTTATACACTGAGTTTATTCGCCATGCGCGACCACTCGTGGGCCTACCCAGGTCGCGCTTCCATCCCCCGTCGCCATCGCACCTCGCTGTCCCTCCGCGTGAACTTCCCCGCTTTCCGCGGAGCAACTCACCTCATTGCAATTTTCTGTTTCCCCCACCCCATCGTTTGCGTCAGCGCTGCTCTCACTTTCCCTCTGCGCCACACCCGCCGGCAAGCGCCGCGTGCTGCAGGACGGGGGCGGCGGTATCGTGACTGTAACGACGACCACCACCACCAGCACCACCACGAGCACCAGCGTGATTAACAGCACCACGTACGGCCCTGATGGCTCCGTTATAAGCACTGGCGGCGCCGTCACCACCATCACCTCCAGCGGGAGCGAGAGTGGGAGCAGCACTGGGAGCGGCGGAGGGAGCGCGAGCGGGGGAAGCACTGGGAGCAGCGGAGGGACGGGCAGCGGAGGCAGCGCGAGCGGGAACAGCAATGGGAGCAGCGGAGGGAGCGCTAGCGGGAACAGCACTGGGAGCAGCGGAGGGAGCGCGAGTGGGAACAGCACTGGGAGCAGCGGAGGGAGCACGAGTGGGGGAAGCACCGGGAGCAGCGGCGATACAAGTAGCGGAGGGACGAGCAGCAGCACTGTAAACACAAATGCTCCCATAAGATGTAAGCCCGTGCACATGCACATATAAGCACATGTGTCACTGCACTCAAATCTACCAATATACCTCTCCTCCGCCTGCTCCCCTCCTGCTTTCAACGTTCCTGCTGCCTCAGTGCTCAACCGCGGGGCTAGCCCAAACGCCAAGTTCAACATTGATGTTAACATGTGAGTGTACCTTGTGTACCTTGATGTTAGCTGTTGAGGCTCACTTCCGTTCCTACACAGTCTCCGCCTCCCAACGCTCTATTACCGGCGGTACCCACTGCAGCTCGTGGACTGAAGGTGTGTGACACGAATCGTTTGCACCCATTCTGTCCCAAAGCTGTCACAAACCCTTGCATCTCTCCCCCGCATCTCTTCCCTGCGTCTCACCCCCTGCGTCTCACCCCCTGCGTCTCACCCCCTGCGTCTCACCCCCTGCGTCTCACCCCCTGCGTCTCACCCCCTGCGTCTCACCCCTGCGTCTCACCCCCTGCGTCTCACCCCCTGCGTCTCACCCCCTGCGTCTCACCCCCTGCGTCTCACCCCTGCGTCTCACCCCCTGCGTCTCACCCCCTGCGTCTCACCCCCTGCGTCTCACCCCCTGCGTCTCACCCCCTGCGTCTCACCCCCTGCGTCTCACGCCTGTGCGCCACCCCTGTGACTCACCCTCCCATTCGCAGCACGGCATCAGAGCAAAAACCACTCTTCGGCTTCTACGTCACAGCAGTACCAAACAAGCCAGTGCCGGTCTTCTCCAAACCGGGCTACTACACCACCGCGGGCAAACTCGTGCTGGACTTTGATTGCATTCCCAAGGCCACCAGTGCAGCAGGTACCTACTTCTGCGCTGTGGGGGCAGTCGTGAAAATCCCCATGCCATACAAGCCGGTGGCCAAGGCCAAGACGCTCATCGATGCAGGGCTGTTCGACAACCTTAAGGGATTCTACGCGGCGATCAAAGTGAACGGCGCGGAACTGCGCGGAGAAATCACCCCCACTGTTGCTAACCTGTGATTGACTGGGCCTGGCCCATGTTTTGAGAATGTGATTGTAAGCACTTAAATGCTGCTAATGTATGCTATCGTATTGATTTTCCCGGCCATCATTCTGCACCCTCTGTAAGCCCATCCGCTGTAAAAACATCCACACATGCGCTCACCACTCTCACTGCCACCTGCCTGTGAGCTCTCCGCCATGGCTTTCGGCAATGCATCACTGCCCCCATGAGGGCGTGTCCAGTTCGTTCATTTCGGGGTTTTTAGTACCAACACACGTCTCGAGGTTCAAAAATTTTCACTGTACCTATAAACGAATGCATTGTGAGTTGAGTCCCACCTACCTGTAATTTCAGGAGCGCGGACACGTTCTCCGCCACACGAATCAACAGTGCTCTGATCGGGTTCGAAACGAGGTAACGGTTTCCCTCGTCAATCATAGCTAACGAATTTTTGTGCAGGCGGGGGGGGGTGTTGGCGAGTGTAGCGAGCTACTGGCGAAATTGTGCAAGCGATACATGGGGCACTACTGTAGTGGCCATGACGCGGTGCTGTACCCTTGTTCGTGTCCCCGCTGATTCCAGTAACGTGAGTCAGACGACTCGAGGTACGTGCAGGGGGCGTGCCGTTTTGTGAACGAAAGCTGATTGTGTCCGCAGGACACGTTCAATACAGTGTTACAACAAAAAATGTGGTAACTGAGCGGGCTTACGAACAGTAAATGTACGAGCTGGACACCCCCTGAGTCAGTTCAGTGGCCTATCAGGTGACAGTTGAGTTGACCCAAAGGCACCTCACCTCACTCACTGCCTCCATCCACCATTGTCTATCGACGCTGCTCTGCGCCACCGTTGCTCGTGTGCCCTGCCTGTCCGACGATAGCACACTGACCAACAGCACTCAAAGCAGCTCCCTAACCAGCTTCGAGCACGAGTCCGCCTCACATGGGCAGCGGCAGGCAGGACGAGTTTCCTTTGCATCCCTCCATGGGTGGAAGTTGGGTGGGCAAGCCTCTGCGGAATGTTGATCTTATGATTAGATCAATGCTTTGACCCAGAAGCAACTATGGCATGGTTGGACTGACAATACAATGAATGACGTGGGCAGCGAGCTAACCTAGCTAGAAAACCTCCTTACAAAAGGCTACTAATTGTGGTTATAATTTCCCCGCGCAGTTCTGCTCCATTCACATTGATAGCCGCATAGAAGCCCTTGGGATTGGAGAAAAGCCCCGCATCCACCACCGCCTTGAACCTGTTGCCTGGCGTGTTCATGTCGGAGAGATTCAACACCTGCTTCCCGCTGCAGAGATAGGTGCCTGGCGTGCCGGTGGCCTCGGGCACGCACGCGAATTCCACCACGAGCTGGCCCGCGCTGGTGTAGTAGGTGGCGTTGGAGAAGACCGGCGCTGGGTTGTCTGGCACGCCTGTGATGGAGAGTGTGAAGAGCGACCTTTGCGTCGATAGTGTGCTGCACATGGGAGGGTTGAAGCACAGGGGTGCGATGCAGCGGTTTGCGACAGGTTTGGGACAAAAGCGTGGGGAATTGAGCTGCGACAGCTTCGTCGACAAACTTTGTGTACGAACTGCTGCAGCGGGGAATTTGAGTAGTGGGCGGCGTTGGTTGATTGTGTGGTAGGAGCTGGAGTGCGACCCAGCATCTATATAAGGTGGTACTGTGCACTTACATGTTGGTATCGAAGATGAACTTGGCGCTCGTGTCGCCAGACGGGTTGAGCTCCGAGGAAGCTTGGTCTGCAGAGCACGCAAGGAGAAACACTCAACGGATTCAGCGGCGATTTTGAGGCAGCGGGAGGGATGAACATAGGCAGCAGGAGTGAAGAATGGGCTTTCAGAAATCGGTACTACACTGTAGGCGTTGGTGATTTTGAGTGCATGTGCAACTGAGCTCACATCTGGTGAGCCCCTTGATGACAGTGGTGCTGCTCGACCCTCCGCTGCTCCCAGTGCTGCCCCCACTCGCGCTCCCCCCGCTGCTCGTCCCGCCGCTGCTCCCAGTGCTGTTTCCACTCGCGCTCCCCACGCTGCTCGTCCCGCCGCTGCTCCCAGTGCTTCCCCCACTCGCGCTCCCTCCGCTGCTCGTCCCGCCGCTGCTACCGGTGCTGTTTCCACTCGCGCTCCCCCCGCTGCTCGTCCCGCCGCTGCTCCCAGTGCTCCCCCCACTCGCAGTCCCTCCGCTGCTCGTCCCGCCGCTGCTCCCAGTGCTGCCCCCACTCGCGCTCCCTCCGCTGCTCGTCCCGCCGCTGCTCCCGGTGCTGTTTCCTGTCGCGCTCCCTCCACTGCTCGTCCCTCCGCTGCTCCCAGTGCTGCCCCCGCTCGCGCTTCCCCCGCTGGGGGTGCTTGTGGTCCCACCGGCGCCGGTGGTGGTGGTGACGCCACCCCCAGTGCTTATAACGGAGCCATCAGGGCCGTACGTGGTGCTGTTGCTCACAGTGGTGCTCTTGGTGATGCTCGTGGTAGTCGTCGTCGTTACAGTCACAATGCTGCCGGTCCCCTCCCGCAGCAAGCGGCGCTTGCCGGTGGGTGTGGCGCAGAGGGTAAGTGAGAGCAGCGCTGCACACGCAAACGACGGGAGTGTACAGCAAAGCGTGGGGGGAAAAGGTCACCACGATGAGGTAATTGGCTGCGCGGAAGGCGGGCCCGCCTGGGAGTTTCACGCGGAGGGACAGCCGCGCGTGGAATGGAAGCGCGACGTGGGCAGGTCCGTGAGTGGGTGCGCGCACGGCGAATACACTCAATGTTTACCTTGGCGACACACGCGCGATACATTCGCCGCGGATCGATCACGCGACGGGTGCGGAGGCGATATGGCAAAGGGGGCGCGAAGCGGCGCATGGGAGCGGTGGGCTCACCAACGGCGATGACGACGGCGAGTAGCGAAACGTGGAGGGCCGGTGAGCGCGATAGTGGCGTCGCCTGTGCCATGATGGCTGCAGGGAGCCGCACGATGCTCGATTTTGGAAGTCGAGCTTTTGGGAATAGTACCGTCACTGGGTGGAGGATGGAAGACGGTCGGACTACTATACGGATGGAGCTAATAAGAGCGGAAGGTGTTTAGCTAGCTGCTAGGTCTGCACTGGCGGCCGCACTATAGAGAATTGAGCAAATCGGAGCAAAGTGCTGAAATGGGAGCGCGAGACCCATAGCAGTCTCTTTTATAGCCGCATGGAAGACGGGAGAGCGTCGGACTTCGCAAGGTGAGCCTTTCCCTCGCTTCGCTTTCGCTACCGTCCGCGCTTTCGGGTGCTCCTAGTCGTTTCCACCGCGCTACTAATCGTTTCCGCATCGTCGGATTATTCCGTCGTGCGCAGGCGCGCCAACTACCAGGTCCCATTTCAGGCGGTGACTGGCACTCGGGGAAGCTGTTCGGCGGAACATGGTTGAACGGATTCAGGTGTGCTCGACTTCCGTTGGCAGTGACGAAATGTCTGGCAATGTTGGGGTTGGGGCCATCATCACATGGCGGGATTTGAGCATGTAGTCGATGCAATGGCGCCCCGACGCAGGTGTTGGCGCCGCCTTGCGTACTTCGCTGTGTCGCCTGTTGTCGCGCAGGTGTAACAAAGGTTGCCGCAGGACACGGTGTGGCGTTGATCAGGTGCGGTGAAGAATTATCCGCCTGCCGCGCCTCACTCAGGTAACCCTGCTTGGTTCGGGGTTGCGCACAGCTCTGCTGTGGTGTGGTTTTCTGCCCATGCCTAGCAGACGGGGATCTGATCCGCACCAGCTTTGCGCCCGCTTGACGGTTTGTCACAGCAAGTGAAACCGTGATGCGCTTTGCAGTTCGTTCTGCAGCGTTTCGTTTGATATTTAGAATGGTGAGATTTGGTTCCGAGGGGAACACATATGGGTTACACCAGAAGGAAAGTTGCGCCTAACGAAACCAGGTCGTGCCACAACCTAACCGAAAATGGTCCTTCGCCCAAGGCATGGCTTCCAGCTGGTTCGCGAATCATACCCGTCAATGAACTGATTCTATGTGTACGTCTGGAAAAACAACCTGGAAACTGGTACACAATGGAATTTAGCTACTCCTATCCAATGCAAATCTTGCAACACACGCACGGCCGCCATGGCAGCGCCGTTCAGCGCGCTTGTGGAGTTCCACGGCTCTCGCATTCTCCTCGACTGCCCGTTAGACCCCCTGCCCTGCTTGCTCCTTCCCCCCACCCCATCCGCGTGGTTACCAAATTCGCGAGACTCGCCTCGGAAGCTCGACCGTTCGGCCGAGCAAGAGAGATCCTCGGAGCCTCGCCCCGTCGACAAATCTGCCGATTCTCGCTGCTCTCCGCGCGCCTCGCAGCATTCGCCACGCGCGCCCGCCGACGCCGCTCACCTCGACGCACCTCGCGTCGCCCGCTGCTCGCCACTCCCGCATGCTGATTCACTCGCTCCCATCCCCGCACCTGCTGCTGCTGCTGCTGCTACCGCAGATGTAGCTTTCCATGACGCATCGACGGACCCCCCTTCAGCACTTGCTCCGGACCAGCCCGAACCTGCAGGTTCGGACCGAGCCATACATCTAACAGACGCACCTCGCGACCATTCCGGAGCAGCCGGCTCGGGCTCTTTCCACCCCCCGGCCCTGGCGTTGTTGCATCGGCATGGCTGCCGAGCCTCGAGGTCTGGTCTGGCGCTCAGGCGCGAGGTTCGGTGGAGACGAAGGGTGTGCATGTGCTTGGCTGACAGGCAGACGGGCGGAGGCGGGCAGAAATTGGACGAGGAGGTACGAGGCGAGGGGTTGGAGGGGAAGGAGGGAAAGCGGAGAGAGGTTGGGAGCGTTGACGGCGCAGAGGCGGAGGCGAGGGGAGGCAGAGCAGAGTCGGTGTGTGGTGGAGCGAGATGGTCGACCAGCCATGGAGGTGGCAATGCGGGTGACAAGAGGAGCGGCAATGGGGGCGGCAATGGGGTGGATGCAAGGGGCAAGGGAAGGAAGAGGGTTGGTGATGACGGTGGTGTGGAGAGCGGTGGGAAGAGGCAGAGAGGGGTTGGGGACGAGGGGAAACGAGGTGCACCATCCAACCATGCGCATGGCCAAGCATTTGACCACAGGCATTCCCACGCCAACACCCGTGCCCACACCCATGCCCACGCTTCCTCCTCGCCATGCCCCGGTGTGCGCCTCTCCTTCCCCTTACCTTCCTCTGTGCCAACCCCCCATAGCACTTTCGCCCTGCCATTCGCGCTCAGTGCCACGTCAGCAGCGTCTGACGTGGACGCCATCCTGATCTCGAGCCCCGAGGGCCTTCTGGGCGTGCCTGTGCTGCTGCGCCATCACCGCCAGCACCACGCCCACCGCCCCCCCCCCAAGGTGTGCTAGGTGTCAGTACAAGCTCTTATTAAGTTGCATCAAGGGAATGTAGAGTGCTACATTATCCTGCTGTATCACAGGGCGTTACGTGTGGTGGCTTGCATTTCCAGGATGGAACTGAAGACAGCCGCGTGGAGCCAAGCAAAGCAAAGCGGCGTGGTGCGCTCCACTCCACTTCCGTGATGTCACCAGGAGATGTGCCACCCCGCCCCAACCTAACACTGTGCTTGTTGATCGTTAAAGAAAAAAAAGGCAAGATGCGATTATGGCATGCAGCAAAGTCGTGCTGCATGGTCGGAATGCCCTTGTGCTGCCCCACAGAAGGACATCAAATGACCCGCCCTCCCTCTGCCTGTCGTGCCTGCCCACCTCCCACCGCCTAACTCTCTTGCCGTTTGAGGCAAGCAGCCCACGTGTGCTTGGCTTGGCTGTGTGGACGGTGCTCCTCAAACCTCCTCCTCACCCCTCTCACCCCCCTCACTCCCTCGCCGATCGGCCGCTGGCCCTGTGTGCCTGCAGGTGGTGTGCACGGAGGCTGCTCTGCGTATCGCCAGGCTGGCGGCAAAAGAGAGGGCGGCACTGGTGCAGGGGAGGGGCGTGCTGGCGGACTGTGAAAACGAGGCCCATGCATCCTTGAGGTGCGCCCTGCTGTCCCAGTGCAGCTGCTGTCATGCCCGTGCCTCATGCCGGTGCCCCTGTGCTCGCCCCACCTGCCATGCTCGCCCCACCTGCCGTGCTCGCCCCACCTGCCATGCTCGCCCCACCTGCCATGCTCGCCCCACCTGCCATGCTCGCCCCACCTGCCATGCTCGCCCCACCTGCCATGCTCGCCCCTCTCCAAGGCTCGCTATACCCCCGCCTCCCTGCCTCTGTTTCACCTCATCATGCACTCTCACGCTGGCCCATCTCTCTGCCTTCTCATCCGCCCTCCCGTGCGTCGCTACAGCCACATCATCATTCAATGCACACGCACTGCCCACCTCACCCAACTGCACGTGTGTCCTCTCACTCAAGTGCACCTTTGCCTTCCCCTGCCATTGAGCCACATGCCTGACAGAAGGTCTTGTGCTTCGCTCGCCTCGCAGCCATCATCATCCAGTTGCTTTCACTACAAAAGCTCACCCTGAAACCCCTTGCTCTTCTCGCCACCTCTCTCCTCTCCCACCCATCGCCCATCTCCTTCTCTCCCTCCTCTTTCTACCTCCTCTCCCCCCCTTCCCCCCATTCTCACCCTCTGCCGTCCTCATCCATGCGAGCAGTGAGAGTGAGGAGCTGGCATCTTTAACGTGTGTGCAGGGAGTGAGGTGGGGGGAGAGGGTGGGTGTGGGTCCGGGCGTCACTGCCACTGCAGCTGCCTCGGGAGGTCCTCTTGGCTCTGCCTCCTGGTCGCTCCTTCACTGCCCCCACTCGCCCTCCCACACCACCCATGCCTCCCAACCCCACACCTCCCACCCACACACCTCTTTCCCCGCCGCACATCTCTTCTCTCAACAACCGCTCTCATCCATCTCGCATCCCTCCACTGACCCTTCCGCCGCTCCCTTCGCCTCCCACTCCACCGCTTCAACCACTCCCTCCTCCAAGTGCTCTCACCTCGCCCTCCTCTTCCCATCGCTGCCCTACACTACTCTCGCTGCTCCACCACAGCTGGAGCCAGTAAGATCTTGCCACGTGGCAGCTCTATGTGAGCCCACGTCAGCCAGCTCTGCTGACAGTCACGCATGGACAGAAGACGCCAAGGAGGGGAGGAAGGCAAGGGTGGGGGATGAGGAGCATGGGAAGGGTCATGATGGCAGGCCGTGGGGTGGGGGAGGGAGGGGCAGCGAGGTGGGAGTGCAGGGCGGATGGAAGGGCAGAGGTGGCGGGATGGAGAGTGAGGCGCTGTGTGAGTCATGTGGGCATGTGAGTGTGACGGCCGGGAGGGAAGGGACGGGAGGAGCTGAACTGGCATGCAACGATAGAGGGGGCAGTGCGAGTGAGGGGAGAGGAGGGGCGAGTGCGGGGAATGGGGTGGATGGGGTGGATGGGGTGGATGGTGCGGGGTGCAGTGCGGTGTCTGACAGCATTGAAGGCGTTGAAGGCGTTGAAGGCATTGAAGGCGTTGTGAATGTGATTGCAGGGCGGGTGGCACAGGGAGGGCGAGTGGTGGTGCCGTGCTCCCCGCTGGGCCCCTCCTTGGACGTGCTACTCGCCCTGCTCTCACCCTCCCACTCACCACCAGGCCTGCCAGCACAATCAGCAGCAGCAGCAGCGCCATCACCCCATGTGGGAGTGGGAGTGCCGGTGGTGTACCTGTCGCCGGTGGCCAAGCAGGCGCTCTCCCTCGCCTGCATCCTGCCTGAGTGGATGCACCCCCGCGTGCATGATAGAGTGGGTGTGTTTGTGTGTGTGAGGATGGGTCTGGAGTTGGTGTGTGTGTGAGGGTGTGTGTTGATGCATGTCTGTGTGTTGGTGTGTGTGGTATGTGTGTTGGTAGTATGTGTGTGGGTATGTGTGTGGGTATGTGTGTGGTATGTGTGTTGGTAGTATGTGTGTGGTTATGTGTGTGGTATGTGTGTTGGTCGTATGTGTGTGGGTATGTGTGTGGGTATGTGTGTGGTATGTGTGTTGGTAGTATGTGTGTGGTTATGTGTGTGGTATGTGTGCTGGTAGTATGTGTGTGGGTATGTGTGTGGGTATGTGTGTGGTATGTGTGCTGGTAGTATGTGTGTGGGTATGTGTGTGGGTATGTGTGTGGTATGTGTGTTGGTAGTATGTGTGTGGGTATGTGTGTGGGTATGTGTGTGGTATGTGTGTTGGTAGTATGTGTGTGCACAAATATATGTCCTCATGTGTGGGAGTGCTTGTGCATGGGAGCTCGCTGTATTCTGCCATACGTCCTTCTGCCATACGTCCTTCTGCCATACGTCCTTCTGCCACACGTCCCTCTGAAACAGAGCACGTGTCCTCTTTTAGGCAGACACCTGACAGGTGTCTTTTTCTCTCTCCCCTCTCTTCCTTCCCCGCTCCCTCTCTCCTCCCACCCGCAGCTCTTCTCAGGTCAGCCCATCCACGCCATCAGCAGCGCCCTCCTCTCCCACCCCTCCACCAACCACAACACCAAACCAGCTTCCTCCCTTGCTGACGCACATGGTGACGCCAGCATGGGTGTGCGCATGGTGGAGCTGCCAGGAGCCGTGGTGTTCCTGCCGCCAGCCTGCGCGCCCACCATGCTGCACAGCGAGGAGCGGCTCGGCGAGGCAGGCAGCACCGAGGAGCGGTGGGACAAGGGCGGCCGTGGGAGGCCGAAAGCACGGAGGAGGCCGCAGGGCTGTCCGTGGAGCCACGACTTGTGGTGACCGCCCTCTCCTCCCCCTCTGCCCTCTCCTCCCCCTCTGCCCTCTCCTCCCCCTCTGCCCTCTCCTCCCCCTCTGCCCTCTCCTCCCCCTCTGCCCTCTCCTCCCCCTCTGCCCTCTCCTCCCCCTCTGCCCTCTCCTCCCCCTCTGCCCTCTCCTCCCCCTCTGCCCTCTCCTCCCCCTCTGCCCTCTCCTCCCCCTCTGCCCTCTCCTCCCCCTCTGCCCTCTCCTCCCCCTCCGCCCTCTCCTCCCCCTCCTCCCTCTCCTCCCCCTCCTCCCTCTCCTCCCCCTCCTCCCTCCTCCCCTCCTCCCCCTCCTCCCCCTCCTCCCCCTCCTCCCCCTCCTCCCCCTCCTCCCTCTCCTCCCCCTCCTCCCTCTCCTCCCCCTCCTCCCTCTCCTCCCCCTCCTCCCCCTCCTCCCCCTCCTCCCCCTCCCCCCCCTCCTCCCCCTCCTCCCACTCCTCCCCCTCCTCCCCCTCCTCCCCCTCCTCCCCCTCCTCCCTCTCCTCCCCCTCCTCCCTCGCCTCCCCCTCCTCCCCCTCCCCCTGCTCCCCCTCCTCCCCCTGCTCCCCCTCCTCCCCCTGCTCCCCCTCCTCCCACTGCTCCCCCTCCTCCCACTGCTCCCCCTCCTCCCTCTGCTCCCCCTCCTCCCTCTTCTCCCCCTCCTCCCTCTGCTCCCCCTCCTCCCTCTGCTCCCCCTCCTCCCTCTGCTCCCCCTCCTCCCTCTGCTCCCCCTCCTCCCTCTCCTCCCTCTCCTCCTTCTCTTCCGACTCCCACCAACGAGCTCTCCTCACCACCCACCTCACCAACCCTCTTTCTTCCCCTTCATTTTTTTCACCTGGCGACCATTCCAACCTTCCAGGAACCTTCTCCACGGCCCGTGCGTTGTGTTTGCCGCCCACTCCACACTGCGTGTGGGCCCGGCAGTGGATCTGATTCACCTGTGGGGCGGCGACAGCCGTGCTCTTCTGCTGTTGCTCGAGGTACACTCCTGTTGTGGAGTATCGCTGGGGCTGGATTTGTGTCATTAGGTGTTGAATGCATCTGACTCTCATCACCATAGCCTGCTGTCACTCACTCATTCGCAACACTTTCCTTGCACACCTTGCTTCCTCGTCTTGCACTTGCCCTCCATGCCTCTTCGTCCTTCATATGCTTCCTCCTTCTACTTTACCTGCCCAAACCCCTCTCTCCGTGGACCTTCCCCCCCGCAGACTCATCCTGAGGATGCGCCAATCACCATCTCGCCATTTCAGCCGCTCGCCATGCACGTCGCCACGTGTTGCCTGCTACCCTCTCACAGGTCTTGCTCACTTGCTATGCTTGTGCCATTTGATCAACGTGATTAGAGTTGTTTTTTTAGTAGCCACGTGATAAGAGCGAGTTTTTGAGACGACTTAAAAAATCACGTAATGAGAGTGGATTTTTCAGACGTCTAAAAAATCCACTCTTTTGTCATTTGATCAACGTGATGCCACCTCCGTGAAGCCACTACCCTCATGCCCCCCCTTTTTTCCTCATCCCCCTGCCCTGTCCCCAGGCGGTCAAGCACACTGCTGCCACGGGCTCCTGGTGTAGCTGTTACGGCCCACATGCCACGGGGTACTACTGCGGCAGGAGGCACGTCCATTGCAACGACTGGGGCACTCAAGGCTGTGCCTGCGGGGCATGGGGGGCACGTGGAGGATGGGGAGGGAGCAGGTGGGGATGGAAGAGGAGGCGTGGCGGTGGGCGGGTCAGGCAGTGCGAGGGAGCTCATCAACAGCATGCCACGGCTGCAGCATCTCATAGTGAGCCCTGCAGCATCTCATAGTGAGCCCGGTAGCGTTCATCAATCAAGGGCCTGTGCTGTGCGTTTGGAGCTCCCTCTCAACAGCTCATATAATTCCCTTCCACTTCCTCTCCCTCTGCCCCTCTCCTTTCTTTCCGCCGCACTCCTTTCTCTGTGCCGATCTCCCTCCTTCCTCACCGCCCCTCTCCTTACTCACCGCCCCTCTCCTGTCTCTTCCTCCCTCTCCTCTCTCTCCCCCCCTCTCCTCTCTCTCCCCCCCTCTCCTCTCTCTCCCCCCCCTCTCCTCTCTCTCCCCCCCTCTCCTCTCTCTCCCCCCCTCTCCTCTCTCTCCCCCCCTCTCCTCTCTCTCCCCCCTCTCCTCGCTCTCCCCCCCTTTCCTCTCTCTCCCCTCTCTCCTCGCTCTCCCCCCCTTTCCTCTCTCTCCCCCCCTCGTATTTCTCTCCCCCTTCTCCTTCCCCACCGCCCCTCTCCACAGGTCCCAGAGTCCCTCCACGCCCACCTCGCAGCAGGCCTCCCGGCAGCCATCGCTGTGCACCCTCTCAGCACCGCCAGCTGCCACCATCCCCATTGACCACCATGCGCTCATCACGCTCACTGCCATCCGTCTTGGAACCCACTGGGGCGATCCCTGGCACATCTGCACTGCTGTCTCCATCGGCCAGGGTAGGTCAAGTGACCTTTCACACGACGGATGAAGTTACGATATGCATCACGTCTTCATTTGTAGCATGCAAGTGTTCTGAGCAGGGGGGCGTTTCTTATGTGGTGTTATCCAGTCCTTTGCTTTGCATCACACTGCCCTGCTCACCACAACGTGCCTTCAATGTTTCTGGCAGGCTTCTCTCTGAAATTCTTTACTAGGAAATCAGAAGGGTAACTCACAAATAGAACAGAGCCATCTAAGAAGATCACAACAACTGATCCACCCTGACAATTTATTGCCATCCTAAGGGCATGCACCAATAACAAGCCATGGGCCGGGTGATCACAGGTTAGCAACAGAGGCGGTGATACTGCCGCGCAGCGTGATGCCATTCACTTTGATGGTGGAGTAGAAGGCGGTGGGATTCGAGAAGAACCCTGCATCCACCAGCGCCTTGGGCCTGTTCACCGGCCTGAACGGCACGGTGATGTTGGCCAGAGAACTGGCGGTGCAACGGTAGGTGCCAAGTGTGGTGGTGGGCTTGGGCACGCATGCAAACGTTGCCACGAGCTGACCCGTGTTGGTGTGGTAGGAGGAGTTGGAGAAGACTGGCGCTCGGGTCCTTGGCACAGCCTTCACGGTGAAGGTGAAGAGCGCCCTTTGCTGCGCCGATGTGCTGTGAATGGGTGGAGTGAGTTGCAGGGGTGAGACCGGGGGGGGGGGGGGGGGGGGGGGTTGGGGGGAGGAGGGTGATATGGAGGGGTGAGACGGAGCAGTGTGATGCAGAAGTGAGACAGAGCAAAGGAACGGATTGGCGTCCACATGTTGGTGTGGGAGGCACAATGGAGAATCGAGTTCAAGCGAGGTGAGCATGTTCTGTGCTAAGGTTACGACGAGCATGTGATTAGAAGGGGAACGTTGACGTGCACTCACATGTTAACATCGACGTTGAACTTGGCGCTCGTGTTGGTTTGTGAGCTGAGCACTGAGGTAGCTTGGTCTGCATCGGGCAGCCGAGGACACACGCACAGGGCAGAAGAGGACACAGTTGAGCGACTTTTTGAAAGCAGAGGGAACATTGAAAGCAGACAGCAAATGGTCTGCAGTGGGAACATTCCGAGGTGGTTGGGATTGATGCATGTGCATACGCATATGCGTGTGCATCTGCATGTGTATTTGCATGGGCATGTGCATGTGGATGTGCATGTGGACCTGCATGGCATGTGCATGGGCATGTGCATGTGCATGTCTCACATCTGATGGGAGCATTAAGGTCTACAGTGACGATCTTTTCGCCCCCGCTGTTTGACTCTCCGGTACTCCCAGTGCCGCTCTCAGTGGTGCCGCTCCCAGTGCTGCTGATCCCAGTGGTGCCACTCCCAGTGCTGCTGATCCCAGTGGTGCCACTCCCAGTGCTGCTGATCCCAGTGGTGCCGCTCCCAGTGCTGCTGATCCCAGTGGTGTCGCTCCCAGTGGTGCTGATCCCAGTGGTGCCGCTCTCAGTGGTGCTGATCCCAGTGGTGCCGCTCTCAGTGGTGCTGATCCCAGTGGTGCCGCTCTCAGTGGTGCTGATCCCAGTGGTGCCGCTCCCAGTGCTGCTGATCCCAGTGGTGCCGCTCCCAGTGCTGCTGATCCCAGTGGTGCCGTTCCCAGTGCTGCTGATCCCAGTGGTGCCGCTCCCAGTGGTGCTGATCCCAGTGGTGCCGCTCTCAGTGGTGCTGATCCCAGTGGTGCCGCTCTCAGTGGTGCTGATCCCAGTGGTGCCGCTCTCAGTGGTGCTGATCCCAGTGGTGCCGCTCTCAGTGGTGCTGATCCCAGTGGTGCCGCTCCCAGTGTTGCTGATCCCAGTGGTGCCGCTCCCAGTGCTGCTGATCCCAGTGGTGCCGCTCTCAGTGGTGCTGATCCCAGTGGTGCCGCTCCCAGTGGTGCTGATCCCAGTGGTGCCGCTCTCAGTGGTGCTGATCCCAGTGGTGCCGCTCTCAGTGGTGCTGATCCCAGTGGTGCCGCTCCCAGTGCTGCTGATCCCAGTGGTGCCGCTCCCAGTGCTGCTGATCCCAGTGGTGCCGCTCCCAGTGCTGCTGATCCCAGTGGTGCCGCTCCCAGTGCTGCTGATCCCAGTGGTGCCGCTCCCAGTGGTGCTGCTCGCAGTGCTACCGCCGCTTATGCTAGATCCGCCGCCCGACACAACGATGGAGCCTCCAGTGCCGCCAGCGTTCCCGGGGCTGCCCATGCTGACGGAGCCGGAGCTGCTGCCAGTACTGCTGTTGTTGCTGTCGGGGACGGTGCTTACATCTCCGATAACGAGAGCTTCGTCAGGACTGACCGTGCTGCCGCCGCCGCTGCTGCCCGTGGTGCTGCCCGTGGTGCTGACCGTTTGGGACAGGAGGCCGTCGCTCGCATCCAGGAGCTCTCGCCGCACGGCGCTGCCCGCTGCGCAGCAGAGGGAGAACGAGAGCACTGCTGGCAAGGGGAGGGGTTTGCAGGAGTCAGTGTAGCGAAGCATGGGGGAGTCAGTGTAGCGAAGCATGGGGGAGTCAGTGTAGCGAAGCATGGGGGAGTCAGTGTAGCGAAGCATGGGGGAGTCAGTGTAGCGAAGGGGGAAACAGGGAAGTGCGGAGGAGATTTGGGCAGGCCCACGTGTGGGGTTATCGATGATGCACTCCCGCCCGCGCGCGATACCTCGTCCGCGGAAGACTCATCATGAGCGACATGACAGGGCGACGGAGCGACACGACAGGGCGACGGAGCGACAAGGAAAGGGCGACGGAGCGACACGACAGGTCGTCGGACGAGGCGACACGACAGGGCGACGAGCGACACGACCGGTCGACGAGGCGACATATGGCAGGGCGTCATGTGACTTGCCAGGGCGATACGAGGCGACGCGGTGGGCTCACCAGCGATGACGACGGCGAGTCGCTTAACGTCGAGCGACGGCGAGCGAGAGAGTGACGTCATCCGAGCCATGGTTGGATGGAGCCGCGTGATAATACGGGGTTGCTAGTCAAGTCTGAGGCGAACCTAGGAGATGTCAAATCGAGTGATGATAGATGACTCGTGTGGCTGAATAGAATGAAGACAGCAGACGTTTGATGCTCTTTAGGGAATGGAGGGCGCAGGTGGGTCGTGATGCGCCATGCGAGTTCCTCCCCTCGCTTTCGCTGCGGCATTCGCGATTTCAGGAGCTCCTAGCGGTTGGTACTGTACAACAACTTCGTCCAGCGCAGCCAGTTTGCTGGGCACTGTGTGGAAGGCACACGATTCAACAGATTCAGCTGCGCCCAACCCGTGAGCTCCGTTGGCGACGGCGAAATGTTTGGCTGTGCCTGCCTGCGAGCCGCATCTGAAACCTGCTAGCACCTGGCGCCTTGATGCAGGTGCCCGTGCGTCGCGCCGTGATTGTGCGAAGTCCTGTCGGCTGGTGACATGGTGGTAACCAGGGCAGCGGAAAACCCAGAGGGTGCTGAAAGTGTAGCATCTTCCCATTAGCATCATTTCAATAACCACGTACACTCGTTCATCAGAAGCCAATTTTGGCCCATAAAGCCCAATGTCTACTGTGCCCTATGTTACCGGGCGATGTGTGCGACAGTCGCCGGGTTGAATTCTACGAGGCCGACCTCGGGGGTGGTCTTCCGAGGTCGACGTGGCTGGTGGGCGCAGTCACTGGCATGGAGTCTGCCAGGCGTCTGCGCTGTGCTAGTGACAAGGAGTGGTGCACCAACCAGCTGCGCGCACCTGTGAAGCAGGTGCACTGTTGTCATGCGGGTGCAATGCTGTGCAGCCAACTTGTTGCAGCGTCGGCACACCACGGACCCGCAACGTTGGCAAGCCGCGACTTTGCCTTGCTGGAGCGTGGTCGACGAACTCGTGGTGGCACGCGGTCGACCGTGCTGCGCTGGCAGTCATTCTGATGTAGTCTGTGTTGCCAATGTTGTTGCTACCATTGTTGTGAACTTTTGCTAGTGGAACTCTTGCCAAATTCCCCCGTGAACCAGCAAGTAGTGCAAGCACGAATAAACAACTAAGTCAACGAACGCAGAGATCACACGAGCACCCGTGTCTAGCCCAAAGTCTAGCTCCCGTTACTAAAGTTATCTACGCAGCACGGACCTTGGTGGGCTACTGTGCTACCTTGGCCTGCAGATCACCAGGGACAGGGCAGCTCACACTATTACGCTAACGCAGTCGCATATGGGCGAGCAGATCCTCACACGGTTTCGCGTCCCATTCTCCAAGGTACAACCAACCCCTCTTTCTGTGGATCATGGGCTCACGGCTCCACCTTCGGACAAGCCATTTGAGTCCAGTAGTCCATATCCTGGGTTGGTGGGTTGTCTCATGTACCTGATGACCTGCACTCGCCCAGACCTAGCTTACCCTCTTAGCGTCTTTGCGCGCTTTGTTGCGCCTGGGAGACACCGACCTTCCCACTAAGAGGGTGGCGAAGTATGTGGCGAGTACATCAGGCATGGGACTTGTCCTTGGAGGGAAGCAGCCAGTTACATTTACAGGATTCTAAGACTCATCGTGGGCCAACGACGCATAGTCGATGCAGTCTACACAGGGTTACTGCTTTAGCCTTGGGACCGGAGCTGTTTCGTGGAGGTCGACTCGGGCGTCGTCCGTCTCTAGCTCCAGCTGTGAGGCTGAGGTGTACGCTGCGGCCATGGCCGCCCAGGAGCTTCGTTGGCTGTCTTTCCTCCTCACCGACCTTGGTGAGCGGCTTCGCTCTCCCCCAGTATTGTTCGTCGACAGCAGGTCTGCTATCCTGTTGTGCGAGGAGCCCCGACTGGTTGGGAAGGCGAAGCACATCCAGCTTCGTTACTTCTTTCTGCGAGAGTTGCAGCAGTGTGGCTAGGCACTCGTGCGACGTGTGGTCTCTGAGGCCAACACTGCAGATATTTTCACCAAGGCGTTGCCGCCTTGTGACCACCAGCATTTCTGCACCCAGCTTGGCCTTGTGTCTACAGGCCCTCACTTGCTTGTGTAGAAATGCTTTGTCTTGTACTCTTGCATCTCACTATATATTCTATATCTGTACTTGTGGACAGGCCTTGTGGGCCCTTGCTTTTGTAGAGATGCTTGTTATGCATGTCTTGTACTCTTGCATCACTTATATCTGCTAAATACTTGCATGTGGACTGGCCTTGTGGCCCCTTGCTTGTTCTTGGACTGTGTGGTGATCTTGAGATCCACCCTGAGAGTTGCTTTGTTCTTGCTGACTGGTCCTGTGACCCTTCTTCTTGGATTGTTTGTTGCTCTCCACAGGACTACCGTCACCTAGAATATGGGGGTGTGTCAAACTATAATTGTTATAGTTTGTATTGTTTAGTCTAGGTGGTGTACACCTTGGTTAGTGCTAGGGTTAGGTTTGCTATATCTACCCTTGTACTTGCTCATTCTAGTCAATTCATTCTCGCCCTGTAACACCAGGACGTCACACCATCATCTCGGACCTTGAAGTACAGCGCATCATCGACTTGGCTCTTCTTCCAGTCAGTGATAGTCAAGACGTTGTCGCGCGCCTTGTACCACAACAGCGGCGACTGCTTTAGCCAGTATAGGCTCTTTAGCAGCTTGCACACCCGGCCGGTCCCGTCATCGTAGTAGTCCGGCTGGTACATATACAACCCCCTGCTAAGCTTGACCAGCAGGAAGGCATTCTTCATATCGAGCTGCATTAGGTTCAGGTCCAGAACAGCGACGATGCTGAGGAAGATCCTCAGCATGATGTAGCTGCTGACCAGCGCGTACGCCTTGTCGTAGTCAGTTCCATACACCTGCGTGAAGCCCTTCACGACCAAGCGCGCCTTCTTGCGAGCGACCGTATCGTCGATGGGGTACTTCGTCATCACCACCCAACGATTCTTCATCATGTTCACACCGCACGGGCGTTCGACCAGCTCCCACGTGCCCATGCCGATGGGGTTGTAGATCTCCTCGTCCATGGCGGCCTTCACCGCTTTGCCCTTCCAGCTCGCCAACGCTTCCTTCACCTTCATCATCGCGATGTCCAAGCGGTGGTCGGGTTCGGCATGCACCTTGGGGTCAAGCTCTGGTAGGTTAATGTCGGCCTCAACGTCGTCGATGAGTGTGGTGAAGGCGGCTGATGCCAGACAGCCGCTCTGGCGACTTTCGACTTTTCGACTGGGACCTCTACCATGTCGCTGTCGGCAACTCCCCTTCATTGTCGACCACATCGTCGTCGATAAGCTGCTTCACCAACGATGGCCCTTCGACCGGCTGCTCCCCTCTCGTCGACGCACTTGCCGACTTCTCTTTGGTCGACAGCTCTCCCGTCGACTGCCCTGTCAGCTGCTCCCATGTCGGCGTCACTTCTCCTGCCTCCTTCTGCACCTGCTCCCCTGACTGCTGCTCCTCTGCCATCGACGGCTGCACATTCACATTAACAAGCTCGGTCGCATGTCCACCGCCGGCAATGCCACTGGTCAGCACCACAGACGACACCTCAAGGCTCCCCTCATCGCCAGTGGTCGACCCCAGCAAATCGGTGACAGAGGGCGGAGCAACAGAAACAGGAGGAGGAGGAGAGGGCAGGACTTCCTTGACGTCCTCATCATCAGGCTCGTCGACCTCGGCGAGCAGCGGGAACGTCGCCGTTGAGGTGTCCGTCAGCGGGTGGACCTCCATCCATCTCGAAGCAGGCCCATACGTCAACTTTCACACCTCCAGCGACAGCGTTTAGTATAAGAGGACCTCGACCGAGGTGACCAGATTGTTATCGGTCAACTCGAGCACCTGCCAGCCCTTACTCTCCGGCGACACCCCGAGGTGAAGTCCCCAACGAGCCTTTGGTGCCAGCTTCCCACCGCGCTGCTTCGGAGACCAAGAATTGCACCATGCAGCTTCACACCCGCGCAAGCGTGAGATTGGGCTTCGTGCCAGTCAGCATCTAGTACGGTGTCGTCCCTGGCAGCGTAGTCGACTGCTCCAAGCAGTTGCGCACCCAGACGGCTTGCCGTAGGGCGAGGTGCCACCAGTGGTGCTGCACACCCATGTGCAGCAGCATCATCCGCACGGACTCGACGACCGTGCACATCTCCCGCTCAGCCATGCCGTTCTGTTGCGGAGTGTATGGGCAAGTCAGATCGTGGACGATGCCCTTCCCATCGACGAATTTGGTGAAATCCTTTCACAGGAACTCGCCGCTGCGATCGGAGCGGTGCATTAGCACCATTTTTTTCGTCTGTCGCTCCACCAAAAGCAGCCAATTCTCGAACTCCCGCAGCACGTCGCTCTTCTTAGCGACCGGCTTCACCCACACAAATCGAGTATGATGGTCCTTTAGCAGGAGGAAGTGCAAGTTGCCGTCCTTGGAAGTCACCCGGAATGGCCCGCACAAGTCAATGTGTACTGCAGCCAGCGCCTCCTCGTTATCCGAGCCTTTGTCAAGGAAGGTATGTCGTGCCAGCTTCCCGCCGATGCACGAGACACACGGCAAGTCGGCCCCGGTTGACGGCTTGATATCGAGGCCGGTGGCGACTTCATGTATCGTCGAGCTCTTGATCGTGTCGACGGCGACGTGCGCGAGCCTTGTGTGCCACCGGTCGAGTGTCGACTTCGTCGCGGAACCTATCGTCCGCAGAGCCACCACCTCGGTCCACGTCGACCGCGTCGAGCAGGGGCGAAGGTCGGTGCAGAGGACGCGGCCAGTGTAGCGTGCCCGACCGAGTATCTATTTTGCACTCGACACGAGCTGCATTTTGTCGCCGTCGTCCTGCAGCTTCACACCGCTCTCCTTTAGCTGACCGGCTGTCAGCAAGTTTGCCTGCACACCCGGAACATAGAGCATGTGGGGAATGAGGACCTGCTTTCTG